TTCCCCCCAACAAAAAAAAAATTTTTTTTGTGGTTCACCCCCCCATTTTTAATTTATAACCCTAAAAAATAACTTGGGGTGTTTTTTTTTTTTTTTTTTTTTTTTTTTTTTTTTTTTTTTTTTTTTTCGCTGTGATCGAGTCAACCGACGCCAATAAACCCACCATGGCTCTACCTGATTTTGACAATCTGCCGCCCGTCGCTGACAAGCCGCAGGGTTGTGCCTGGGGTGTCTTTGACAAAGACGGCCAGAAAGACCAGTATGGGACGTTGAATCTGCTCACGCCAGAGGTGGTCCAGGCTGCCTCGGCGGAGATCAAACGGGGCGTATCTGTGTCCTTGAAGTACACGCCCACCCAAAAATGTGAGATAAGACGCTAATTAGGAAATAGCTGGCCCATCGGGAGTATGAAAATGCAGGGGTTTTTCCGGAAAGCACTCGACCATCAAGTTTTGACGCATAAGACAGAGACGGGAGAAATCTTTGCTTATGACGATGAGGTAAATTCTCCCAAGTCAATTTGACGGATAGGATGTTGATCACCTGCGCAGGTGGCATTTAATACCCAGGCTAGCAGCCAATGGGACAGTCTGTGTATGCATATACCTCCCGGCCAAGTATTGTGGGTAGCATAGCATTCCTAATGCAGTGAATATAGGCCACGTCCGACTACTTCCCTCTGGGGAAGTGTACAACGGTACTAAACCATCAATCGAGGGACTAGAACGTGGTGATGCCGAGCTCCCAACACTGAACCGTGAGTCGTTCCCCGTATCACATAAAGATGAATGCTAACGACGATAGACTGGCATGAACGAGGCTGCATAGCCGGCCGAGGCGTCCTCATCGACTTCAAAAGCTACGCCGAAGCCAAAGGAATCGAATTTTCACCTTTCTCGTCATTCCAGCTCACCATAGCGGACATCGAAGCCGTGGCCGCCTACCAAGGCACAACCTTTCAAACCGGCGATATTCTGGTCGTCCGATTCGGCTTCACGGAGGAGTTGAGCGGCAAGACAGGCGACGAACAAGGAGCTACTCTCTCGGGAGGGCATTTCTGCGGACTCGAAAGCAGCGAGGAGATGGCTAAATGGCTTTGGAATCAACACTTTGCCGCTATTGCGAGTGATAACATCGCGGTGGAGGTGCTTCCGCCTATCATCAACGGGGAAGAGAGGCCTGTGTGTGAGCTCGGTAAGTACCTACCCCATTAGTCTATGCAAAGGAACAAAAGGGCGCTCGATGCTGATCATGATAGTGCTCCATAAATGGTGCTTGGGTATGTTTGGTATGCCGCTTGGCGAGCTCTGGGATTTGAAGGCCCTAGCGGAGGAGTGTCGCAAAGCACAGCGATATTCGTTCTTCATCACGTCGTCTCCCTCGAACCATCCCGGTGCTGTTGGAAGCCCGCCGAATGCGATCGCGATTTTGTAGTTTCTTATCCCGGGGAGTAGAAGAAATATAACTTTTGCGATAGGTGATTGAGCTCTGTGGCGGGATAATGACAAAATTTTCCGTATGGATTCTACCAGCGTGGGTATATCAATCTGTCATGAGTTTAGCAAATTTCCACCAGAACCACATCAAACTTTATCACATTGACTTTGACATTTTAATCAACATTAATCAATATACCCGAATGACACATGTCAGTGTGGTGGAGCATATGTGTGGCAAATTTTTGAGGAAAGCCGAAGTGGAGGTTCAATCCTATCCTACTCCACAATTTATATATTTGAGTTCAGCATTACCCACGAAGACATACAACCAAACACACCCAGAGAGAATTATTGACATTAGAAAAAATCCCAAGACTTCCTAGTTCCAGACTATGGAGTACTATTTACTGGTAGAAATTACGCCTTCTGCGCAGCAGGAGGATAGTCGATATAGTAGGTGGCATTGTCTTCGAACGGTCCGTAGAAGCGAGCACGGTGGTACGGCTCGAAGGGGATACCACGCTTCAGTCTCTCAACCAGGTCCGGGTTGCTGGTGAAGTGACGTCCAAAGAGCAGGGCATCGTAGCGCCCGTCTTCCAGAACACCCCAGGAGTTCTCGGGGTTCCAGCCACCCGCCGAGAAGAAGGGCGTGTCGCCGAAGATCTTCCGGAAGCGCGAGAGGTCCACGTCCTTCAGGCCCCAGCTACCGAGGAACTTGTCCTTCTCCTCGTAGCTGAAAATTTGCTCGTAGCGCTATAAACATCAGTTAGATCAGCCAATACTGAAAATGATGGACAGAAAGAGAGCGGTCACACGCACCGGCTCAATAAAGCTGACGTACGACAACTTGGGCAAGTCCTTCTTCAACGACTCGCAGAGGAAGGTCCAAGTTTCGAGCCTCTGCTCGCCTCGAGCCTGGTTGAACAGTCCAAACGGCGACAGGCGGATCGACAGATTCTCCTCGCCAACGCTCTTGGCCAATTCGTCCATCAGCTCGAGGACAAAGGTGCACCGCTTCTCGGGCGACCCGCCATAGGCATCCGTTCGCTTGTTGACATTCGAGCTCAAGAACTGCTCAGGCAGATAGCCGTTACCCGCATGCAACTCGACGCCGTCGAAGCCGATCCTCATGGCCGTCTCAGCCGCGGCGCAGTAGTCGCGAATAGTCTGCTTCAGGTGCGGGACGGACAGCTCGATCGGCGGGTGGTCCGCGTAGGGGACCTGGGAGGTCGATCCCACGGGGGGATGAGAGTAGCCTTCCGAGGGGTCGTCCCAGGGGGTTGCGGAGGCCGAGACCGCCGGGGACCCAGTCATCTGGGGGATGGTGGCACGTCCGGCGTGCCAGAGCTGCGCGTAGATGATTCCCCCGTTGGCGTGGACGGCGTCGACGACTCGCTTCCAGCCGTCCGCCTGGGCCTCGGTAAAGAGACCGGGCACACCTGGCATGCCATTGCTCTTTGGAATTGGGTTAGCACGTCATTCGTTCCTCGTAGAATATTGCACAATCAATCAATCGACAGGCGGATTGTCAATTGAACCCGACCAAATCAGAAAATGACGTGGGAAAGTGGATTGCGGTGACAGCCGCGGAAGACAGGAAAATGGGGCACCGAACAGAAAATAGAAACCACCAATAAATTGACCCAAACAATGAACAACCAACAAGCATGTTCCAATTTTTGGGTCAAAGACGGAAAAGGTTTCCCCGAAATCTGCAACCAAACACAACGAGTAACGACTAACGAGTAAGCCAACTTACCTCAAGCGACGGCGGAATTCCTTCCGAGATGATCAACCCGCCAGGGGTCGTACGTTGACGGTAGTATTCGACCATCAAATCGCCAGGGTACCAGAGACGGTTGGGATTCTCCGGGGTGCTGGTGGCGTTGACGGGCACGCCGCGGTTCCTCGTCATGGGGGCATGGACGACGCGGTGGGAGAGGTTGATCTTGCCATTGGCGATGGTCAAGGGCTCAAAGAGCTTGGAGCTCTCGCCGTCCAACTTGCGAATCGTCATGATGATAGAAAAATAGAAACAAGGTAATATAATGGAACTCGGTAGAAGCGATACTTTTTCCGGGGTGGATGTTACGTACGGGGAAAAAAAAGCAATTACGGGGAAGAGAGAGACAAGAAGGTGGAAAAAACTTAACCGTGGCGACGACGATACTAATAAAAGTGACCGGGCATAACGTCGGGGATTATGATGATCAAATTATAAGAATAGCAACGGTCACTGCGCCAGATGGTCTTATCGTGCTCGGTAGGAAGGACGTTTAGAACAAATCATAGACTGGAATTCGATCTGTGCTACGCTACGCTGCCACGGATTCTGTCGCGGATGTTGAATTTGCTGATCCAAGGAGTGCTCCGTATTGTCCCCCTTTTTTCCCACTTTCCTTTACGGAGTAGTTTGTTGGGGGGGGGGGGGCATAGTGCATTTTACCTCTTTCGGGGCTACTATTGGATTTTTTTTAATTTCATAATCTGCTGGTGGTCAACGGTGTCATGCCGAGTGGCTCGTGAATCGTGGCAGATGGAGCCATGAGAAATCCAATGGAAAGCCGAAGAAAAAGCAAACAGAAGGAACAAGAGAAGGGAAAATCAAGGGCCTCGGCGAATTGCCTTGGACGGTGGATCCAGACAGTCACGGCAGGAGCTGACTGGGACAGGATATTCGACTTATGCAGCCAAAATGTTCATCAATGGTTCCAATGGAGTCATATTCCGCCAGTCCGGAGGCAGCCTGGCGCCGTTGAAACCGCGGTGGTGGGAGGGTTCCATGGATCGTACCCGGCGGTAGCAGGACTCCTAAACGGGATCAACATGGCTGCGCTTAGTCTCAAGCCACGCGTATTGACATTCGTTAGAGCAGCTTCTAGCGCACGAGAGGCCCCACGGTAACCCTGCAAGCGAAAGGTAAATCCATTTAATCGATCCTTTTGGCTGGTTGTCTAGGGCTCCACCCGCGACCCGATACCCTCCTGGGTTACTGGACCGATGCCAAAAGACTTCCCAGACAAGGATAGTCAAATAGCACCATGCGAGAAGTTGAGAACGACTGACGGAAGAATCTGCGCCTTTGCCGTCTGCTTGTTTGACTGTGCCGCTTGGCGAGTTTTTTTTTTTTTTTTTTTCGTCTTCTTTCTTCGCTTTTCGTCTTCTTTATTCGCTTTCTTTTCTTTTCTTTCTCCCCCCTCTCCTTTCTCTGTCTTGATTTTTATTCCGACTGTCCTAACTCCCTAGTCCAGTTCTAAACCGGGCGGACTCCTGGACCCATTCCATGATGATCCGCTACGTCTGCATTCCGTGTGGCCGGCGTCATGGACTGCCTATAGTGGATGCTAGTATAGAGAGGGGTTGCCACTGCTCGAATAGTCCCCCCAGTAGTTCATAATCCTGCATATCTAGTTGCTGTGCTCGGCTTTACATCGGCGTCTGAGCTTTAGTACGAAAAATCCAGAGGGGGCAGACCTAGGATGGAGTATTGAAGACTGAAGTACGGGGTTGCCATGGGGAGTTGAGCCAGGACGAGTGACCTTCGTGTCAACCACTTTGCGAAGCTCGCGCTGCAGTTGCACCTCGTAAAGCTCGATAGCATACTCCGTAAGGTAGCATGGAACGAGTTTCCATCAGTCATCAACCGTTAGCGTTCCATATAACCTATCAAGACCAGACAGAGTTTGATGACAGTCCCTGTACCAAACAAAAAAAAAATGTCACGGCAGCTTTAGTCCCATCGAAACACGAATCAGCATGCGTCGTTCCTCGTTCCCCTCCGTAGCCATCGAGCCAAAAGGCAAAAGGCAAAAAGCCAATGGCCCAAAGACCCATCAAGCCTGAAGTAACATCCCGTCCGGCCTGCATCTCTCCTGGCCGGCTGTTTCATACGAGCAAATCCCCCGGCGGAGCCCTCGTGCACCTATTACGATCGATCTCGCGCTTGCCCCCCCGTTTTCTTTGCTTTTGCCAACCAACCCAGACCATTTGTGATGTACTTTGTTAAACTTTTTCTATGCTGCGAGTGGGTCTTATTCCAATGCCTCGGGGATCAAATTTCATGGGATTCCACTTCGGACTTCCAAATTAGAAAGAATAGTCATCGATCCCTCGTATCATTTGGAACCTGAGCAGGCTGGGTCCTCCTGACTGGGTCCGGTACGAGATGGCGATTGTAAGGACGGGGGAACGACGGGGCACGTAGCCAAGTAGGGGTTGGGTTTTCGCTTTCTCGTCCTTTTAATCTATTATGACACCCAGCTTGTTGAGGGGAATCTTTTGGAGCTTTTTTGTTTTCCTTTTCTGTCTGTTGTTTAACTAATCGGGAAGTCGCCCTTTGTGCAGCTGTTGCTTGGTTTTGGCTTGGTTGGAACACCATGCTGGCTTGCCCTACATCATGACTGTCGAGAACCCTTATGATTATCTCAACACGGTGAACCTGATCACACAATGTCTCTGCATTCCGATTGTGACCATCTTTGTGGTCACGCGGTTCGCCATCCGCACATACTACAAGCAGTTTGTTGGCGTTGAAGACAGTAAGAATCCATGTCCTTGTCTGAGGGAGACGCTCCTTGCTAACAGAACCAGCGACATGTCTCATCGCATGGGCAAGTACTCTCTTTCCAGCTCTACGACCGACCTGGTTCTAACCGCCAACAGATCCTATTCATGGGATACTGCGGTATTGGCATAGTCGGTCAGCACCCACCTCCCATCCACCTGGTCAGCGCACACAGCCAGCAAAGCTAACAACCAAACAGTGGGCAAGTATGGCGGCGGGTACCACATCGACGACGTGTCTGCCACGCATCAGATGCTATTCCGAAAGGTACTTTGAACCCATCGAGTCCCCCGCGTCTCTATCCCGTCCGATGAGATCTAACGACGGCATCAGTACTGCTACATCGCCACGGTCCTCTACTGTCCCATGGCCCTCCTCACCAAGGTCGCCCTCCTCTCCATCCTCATCCGGATCTTCGCGCCCTACAAATCCAAGATCATCTTCATCTATGTCTTCCTCGGCTGTCTCGGAATCTACTACACCGTCGCGGAGGTGGTGAAAATCCGCATGTGCGACCCCGTTCCCGCCTACTGGGACCAACGCATAAAAGCCTCCTGCCTGGACCAGCGCGCCGCGCTCATCGCCGACTCCGTCATCAGTGTGGTCAGCGATCTGATCATCCTTCTCCTGCCGCTGCCCTTGACGTGGTCGCTGCAGATGTCGCGCAATAAGAAGCTGCGAGTGGTGGGCATGCTCTCTGCCGGAGGGCTGGCCACCGCATTCAGTATCTACCGACTGGTGCTGGTGCTGCAGGATGGTAACTCGGCAGACCAAACGGTGATGTTTACCTGCGTCATCCTCTCTGGGTACGTCCAATCCCCCATTTGCCATCAGCCCATCCCCGACTAACCCAGGACACCACAGCAACGCGGAAGGAGGCGTCGGACTGATCTGCGCGTGTCTCCCGACTTTCAACATTGTGATTCGCAAGCTGCGGTCGAAAGCCTACAGCTCGAACCGGTACTACCAGCCGGAGTCGTCCGTGCCCCTCAGCAAGATGAAAGCCAGCGCAGGGAAAGGCTTCTCGATGGTTTCCAAACCCGACCACGACTTCGGGTCCGATCAAAGCCACCTGATCACCTACGCCGGCACGGTCGACATGGGCAGCAGCGCAGGCGGCGTGGCGGGATCGCCGGACACCAACGGCATCCACATCCACAAGACGGTGGACGTGTCGCAGACGGTGGAGGTGGTGGACGAGCATGACCAGGAGCAGGGGCGGGTGTCCTCGGGGTCAGGGTCTGATCGTCACCGAAGATACTGAAATCCTGTCGCGTCTTCCATCTCACTACGTTTAATGTTTTTATTTGATTAGGTTTAGGTTACACATGGGTTGGTATGCTATTTGCTCTGATTTGGCCGTTGGCAGCTGGACGAGCTGGTTCGGATGTATACTTTTTTGGTTTGGTCTAGGGATGTGTCGGGGGACTGGCGCAGAGGGATTTGTTCAATGTTTTGTTACCCCGTCAAAGACTTGATTGTTTTGGTTCTAGCTGGTTCTCGTTACACAGCGCAGCACACTGGGCATGTATTATTTCTATTGATAATCGATAATTTTCTGTTCATCTCTAGGCCTCTCTCCATCGGCCAGTACCCCAGCAGTGGACATTAATATAAAACGCTGCTAAAAGGAGACCTGCCGGGATGCCGGGAACCGCGAAACCCAAGGAGGGAGGCCAAGATCGCACTGAGTACATACGAGTCATGCTCGTCCCTGGAGGACGGTGAATCTGTGCTACTGCCACGCGTGCTATAGTCAGGGAGGCCATTATCAGTGATGGTCCGATTGACAGTCTGGTCCGACCCACCGCGTCCGGCCAGGCCAGCGCCGAGTTTGCGCCCGCCGAACGCCGAGGCTAGAGCGACCAGGCTGAATTGCTTAATATATTTGGCGCCGGCCGTAGGGCATCCTAACGGTTTGGGGTACTCCAATTAATTTATTTCCTCCATGCTCCAAATGTTCATCTCCGGTGGTCTTGGTGGGTTTGCGCTTTGCAGCTCGATGGGCGCGAGGGAAAAATCTGCGCAGCTTATGAAACATCGTGGGTCGAGGCAATGAGGCTGCACAGTCCAGGCGCAGCGGTGGCGATGGGCCAAACAAGGAAGGGGAACTGATCAGATAGGGAGGACACCTCAGGCAGCAACAGGGGAGCGTGATATCATCGCAGCCCTACCTTCCGTTCTCCAAAGCGGCCTCCAATCTCCAGCTCCATCCCCATCGCATCCCACTGGAACGGCGCGTCAATTGCATCGCCATGTCGAAACGCATCCAGTCCTTTTTTCAACCGGTGTCCAAGAAACCCAAGATTGACAATAGCGAACCCGAAGAACTCACCCGCAGCAACCATGCCACCTACCCCTTCCCCATCGCCGACCTGCCGTCGCGCATCTCCAATCCCTTGAACGACCACCAGCCCCGACCGTCGCAGTCGATCACCAACCACCCCGACCTCAACCTGCTCTACTTCCAACCGCTGCTGCTGTCGTCCGTGGCACGCGACCTATTCCACTTCCTCCGCGCCGAACTACCCTTCTATCGCGTGCAATACACGATCCGTCGCGGCGGGATCGACACGCAGATCAACACGCCGCGATTCACGACGGTATTTGGCGTCGACGAGACCTCGCGATTCCGCCTCCCTTCGAACCCACCTCAATCCGACCCCACGCCGACAACACACCTCGCTCACGAACTCGTCGACACGCAAAAGCACACCCCCGTCTCGAAAAGCAGATATACGCGCGCCCCGCGCCCCATCCCCCCGTGCCTAGACGCGCTACGCCGTGTCGTTGAATCCGTCTCCGCCGGCGCGACCTACAACTTCTGCCTGGTGAACTACTACGCGACAGGAAACGACAGCATCACGTACCACTCGGACGACGAGCGATTCCTGGGCGCCGAGCCCGCGATCGCATCGCTGTCCCTCGGCGCGAAACGGGACTTTCTGATGAAGCACAAACCGCCGCCGACGCCGGAGAAGAATCCAGGGCGCGAGTCGCGACCGTTGAAATTCCCGCTGGGGTCGGGCGATATGATCATCATGAGAGGCCCGACGCAGGCAAATTGGCTGCACAGTATCCCCAAACGGAAGGCGGAGGTGGGAGGGGTCGGGCAGGGGCGGATTAATATTACCTTTCGGAAGGCGATCGTCCCTGGGGGAACGGATAACTATTATCACTACAATGTCGGGGATGGGGGTGTGTATCGGTGGAGTGAAGAGAAGGGGGAGATGGTGTTGATGGACGGGGAGAGGAAAGAGGAAGGGGGTAAAGAGGCACAGTGAGTCGTGGTCCGCATGGAAGATCAGTTGCCATATCATCGCATACTAGTGTCATGGAACGGCCCCCATCCTCGGCCATCGATCGCCCCAAATGCTAAGCAACAGCCAAATACTCCATGGCGCGAACATTGACGATCAGGACGTGGGGGCTCCAATTACTCCAGTTTCTTCAAGACCGCCAGGAATTTTTGCAGGAAGCCACAAAAACGGTCGGCAACGAGCACGGAATGGTGACAAAACCAATGGAGATTTGCCGGTTGCAAAACGGTAGCAGAGGGTGCACCTGGGCAAACAGCTAAATGCCGCCTGCGGAACTGCTCCAGTCAAGAGATGACCTCTCAAGACAAATGCCGGGACAATGCATGGCTCCACGGTGTCGCGCTGTAGACGCAGGCATGGCGAAAAACGAACAGAGTCCCCAGGAAGATTGGATCGGGGGGCAAAAAACCGTTCATCTGACGCGAACTTCTCAAGCAAGACTTTCATTAATTACAAAATCCCGACAACATTGTGAAGAAAATGAGATCATTGAGCCCGGCGCCGCTTCATGGGCTCCGCCTCCCGGTGCCAATCTGTAGTACAAGGCTCTTTGCCGTTTCCGTTGCAGCATTCATAGATAAATCCTTCGGGATATGCCATACGGTTTTCTTCCGTGTCCATTGGGCCATGGCAATTCTCATCGTGATCAACGAAGAAGTCGTCCTCGTCGGGATAACCGCAATCTTTAACCTGGGTTAGGATCGACAAAGGCTAAATGAAAGGTTGCTGTATAATTTCAATGGAAAGGAAATATGATCGGAGGGGTCCACATACCGGGATGATAAACGCAGCTCTTCCTTGTGTTCTCGGTGACATCAAATTCCTCCTTACAGTTCGTGCAGGTCGCGTAGCGTGGCATTGATCTCTTGGACCCGGCGACTTGTTGCGGACCATTTGGGTTTTCTGATCTTGGGGGTTGTTTACGGGCGGCGTCTTGAGCAGACGATTCCTCATCTGACGGTTCTTCCTCAGACGATTCATAATCAGACGGTGGTACATCGGACGGCACGTCCGGAACTTGGTCTTCGCTGACAAGTAGCAGATCGGCGAGTTTCTGTCGAAAAGTCGGATCCTTTGTGCAGACGATTTCCAATGTTGACCTCAGCGTTGCAGAGGAGGCGGAATAGATGGCGCGTTTGAGGTCGTCCATTGGATTGTGTTCAGGTGTCGGATTGGGTTCAACTGTGGGACTGTGATCAGTTGTGGCTGGTTCCATGTTTTTGAGTGATTCCTTGAAGGTCCCACGGTATCTGAACTGAGCATGTTCTAAGATATCCATGTTTTCGTTGTCTATACCGGGTCGAGGCGATTGTTTATACTCGGCAGACGCGACAGGACGCGAAACGTGATCAGAAGCAAACAAGCCGGACGTTGATCAATCGCTGCCTCAGGCATCAAATTCCCATTCCGCACGACGACCCTGCAACGAAATAACAAGATATCAATCACTACCAAAGATGTATTACCAACTCATTCAAAGACCGAGATTAGAGGTAAAAACCCCACATCAACGACATAGAACCATGGAATACCACTGCATTTCCATTCCAAAAAGTTGCATTCGATATGATCACCCTGGACTATGAATGAGGAATTGGCACTACAAAATCTAAGTTGCATGTAAAAAGAGATATTCATATATTAAGATAGTGACATTTTCAGGGACAATACATCTAAAAAGACGATTTACCACCGCAACATTACACCGACAGCGATTTCCCTAACAATATTTCACCAGACCGAGACGAAACAACGAAAACAATCCTAATCGAGAATGATTGGCAGAGGAGAAAAAAGAAAGGGCTCTTAGAGCGACAGTTGCACCCACATTTCAGATCCGGCAGTATCCCTGTGCCGAATCAATTGCAAAGTTGCAATGCAACGGATGACAACATCTCTGGCATCCAGCCCACGAACAACAATATTCTCTGTCGTTACCACAGAAGTCTAGATTTGCGTGCCGTCAAAGATTCAGCACGTTCCTATGACAGATGGAGGTATACGAGCAGGGTGAGGACGGAAAGAAAACGAACCATCCATTCGGGACGGCAATGGATAGGATGGGGAACTGGAGGAGCGCGAGGTAGATTGGCTTCATGATGGCTTGTAGGTAAGGGCTTGTTAGACTTCTGACGGGATATCTTCAACAAAGCGCTTAGAGTTTGAATAGTGGAGCTAAAAGAGAAAGACGACTTCGCCCTCCAGAGTTGAAGCCCTTTATACATTCTCGCGGGGCAATGTATTTCCCACTCGGGAACCATTCTCAGACGCCACACTTCGTCATATTCATATCATTGGGACTCTTCTCGGCAGAAAAAATCGTGACTATAGTGGCACATGGCGCCCCTGCCGGCGAATAAGTGCAGTGAGTAGTGGGAGACATGATGAGCTGATGCGCTGTTAGGTCGTTACTTTGGACACCGCCGCGAGAAACCACAAGCGAAGAAAGCTTATCGTTGTCAATAAAACGCACATAAGCAGAAACAGAAGAAAGCATCTTCGAGATGATGGGTGCATCCTAACATGTTGGCGTCGGAATTCAACAGACTGATCGATAGGAAACAAGTGAAATTAGATATGATTTATAAACCTGGAGACCAACATCAATGTGCCCCATTTAACGAACCCTCAAGGTATTCAATATCCATTGCCAATAACGATCTGGCAAACCTTACTAACAAATTAGCTCTCGATAACTGCTATCCCTCTATCTGACCCCGGACTGCCCCTGCCACCAAGATAGTCCTGTACCATAGACGTGATAAAAGGATCGAATAGATCATCTTGGTTCTCCAACTGCCACTCGTTCAAATCAAGGTCTAGGTCTGCGTCAAAATCCGGAACAATTTCCTCCTGCGTACCGTCCCGCTCATCCGGGTCACTAGACTCCTGGAGGACAGCAACACCTTCACCAGCAGGACTTGACGAGCTAATCGATATGATGTCCATATGAAAATAATCTAAGTTCACTTGATCGTCATCCCCACAGCCATCTGGTCCCGCGACAGGCTGGGAATTCTGGTGTTGGGGCTTATTGCCATGCTCTGCACCGGGACTGGACGACGAAACAGTCTTGATGGGAGGCTTTGCTCCCGTATCTCTCACGTCTACCGTCCAGGGTAAACGGATCCCCACTCCAATAGGCGGAATACATCTCACCAACTCCGGAAGACAGCCATCTCCTGGCAACCGCCCAACGGCAAGACTGTAATCCACAGAGGTAGAGATCAAGAGGTACGCGCGGGGACACTGTAAGAAAGCATCATACCAATCCTTCGCTCTGCGAGCCACATACGGCTGCGATTGCGCTTCTACAGCTTCATCATCAGTTCCGAACCCAGTCGACGACTGCGTCGACGAAGGAGAAGCCGAGTCGCGGTCCCACCGAAGAAAGAGATGCTGCGCTGTGATGTACGCTAATTGAAGGATATGATTTGTACCCGTGCTGACAAAATCTGTTACATCGTAGGAGTGTCCGGAATGGCGAACTATTTCTCCAAGAGCGTCAAGGTGGCGGCGTCTAGTGTTAAGTTCTGTAGAAGAGGAGGAGAGTTTGAGGTCGATCGCGGTGAGGACGAGGGGCATGGCCACGTATGCGAGACTAAATACGATTATCAGATGGCGGAAGATGAATAGAGTGGCACAGGTGACTGACACGCTCAGTGGAAGACTCTGCGCCCGACCTTCGCGACTGAAATACTCCATTATAGAGGTGAGGTTGCTCATGGCCTCTTGGAGTGTAGCACCTATTCCCACGAGCTGGGAGATATAGTCCTGCCCAACAAAGGCAATGTGATTCTCGACGAGAAGTGCTTCGTAATGAGCGAGGTCTATTCGCGCAGTTCTGTCCGGGATTAACACGCTTTCAGCCTGACAGGAGGGAGAGCATACTGAAAATACATAAGAGTGAAATTGGTAAAGAGCGTAACCGGGTCTGGCAGATCGTCCTTCATCCAGGTAGACATTCTCGAGCATATTTCCCACTGTTGCATGGACTCTTTTATTCGGCTAATCTTCTCCAGCGACTCTTTGAACTCATCAAGTGAGAGACTAGGTGCGGATAGTCCATGTGAAGCGAACGTAACGGACACCATTTCAGTCAATAGGACTGCCAAGCGGCATTGTTCCTGAAGCGCCTTGAACAATAGACGTTTTATACTAGGGCTATACACTTGCGATCTTCGGATTTCCTCCGCCAAGTCTTCCTCTTCAAGAGGTTCGACTCCCATTCCACAGTCGACGGAGGTGACCTGCGGGCGACGTCGGAGGCCAAGACACAAGCTTCGGTCGCGGAGGATGATAGACCACCAGAGTCGCTTCTTGACAGAAGCCTCTACATCCTCGGAGGGCCCAGGTTTGCACCCAACAACCATCGCAGCCTGGATGGCGCGGGTCAACCACAGGCTCCCTGCTTGGGGCTCATCCGCCGAGGTATGAAGGGACAAAAGAGTTGCGCCTTGGGATTGTATCAAAGGTCGGTCATCTGCTTTGAGATCGAAAAGGATCTGCGGGTCTTAGCATTCAATTCGGCGAAAGGACATACTCGACTTACCTTGGCTCTCTTGTAAAACGTATTCCTTGCGCTCCTCTTTTCCTCAAATCCACATTTCAGAATGGTCTCTTTCGAAACATACGGACAACTAGCGAAAAGAATCGACTGAAACACAAAAAGTGAAATCCTTTGGGAATCATCATCCTCGTCCAGTAGCCCATACAGATCCCAGACTTCAGCCTCGTCAAGAACCGGCACGTACGGATGAATGTGCAGGAAGTATCCCCGGAGAAAGTCCTCAATCAGCGTCTTGTCAGGAACACTCAGACATCCTTTGGTTGCTAGATATGCCAAATCGTCTTTGTCCAGGGAGCTCTCGCCACGGAAATCAAGAAATGGGTATGATGAGAAGATAACGTGTCCGGCGGGGATCGTTCGACTCGCGGGGTCCACGCCGAGGGGACGCGAATCATCGTAGGATGTGATCGCAAACCCTCTGAAGCTGAATGAAATTAGTAGGACTCATGTCATTTATTATGGATAACATACTTCCGCGGTAGCTTGCCACGAAGCACACATTCGGGACGCCCGTCCTGCCGACATCGCGTGCAAGGACATCCGCGAATGGAAGCATCACATCGGACTTTGCGATGGTGACACCATGAGCACGCCTTCGGTGCTCTCCTCGTGCGTCTCAACATGAAAGTTTTTATTTACCTTCTACAAAAAGAAAGTGTATATATTGATAATCGCAACTGAAGTGACGGCAGACAGAACGGAGTGAATGTGATGCGGGGAAGGACAACTAGAGATGAACCCAAACACCCTAAGCACAGCTCGTGACGAGACCAGCTACCATAATGCCAGGTGCGACAGCATAAATCCGCATAATAGGGACTGATCGTCGCAAAATGGGGAAACGATCACCAAGACCAAGAGGGGAGGACCCGTTCGGGGTAGGGTTTGCCTCCTGAATCAGAATTTCTGACTCGAACTGCACGACTGCCAAGTCCTTTCCCTGTTCACGAACCTGTGGCGAAGACAACATGTCAGAGCACGCCTAGCGACCGGGCCTGAACATAAATCCAACCCAAAATACGACGTTGAGGGGTCTGATCGCCCTACCCCGCCATCGCAGGAAGCTTGGCTCCCGCGGTCCCTCGGTAGTGGAGCATGTAAAGCTGGGGATAAGGCCACAGAACGAATCACATTCTAAGTAATTCAATCAAGTACATACGACATTCAAGAAAATTCAACCTCGCCGGCAGCCTGGCTGTATCATCTCGTCACACCTTACTCTGCAGTCTCCGTCGCATGTCCTTCATGTAGTACCTTTTCGGATAGGTGCGCACGAACTTGGGCAAGCAGGGGTATGTCGCTTTCGTGAAGCCCACTGTCATTCGATAGGCGCCTCTTCGCAGCTTGGTGGTCTTCAGGCCATACGCCTCTCGGATACGCGGGGGAAGCAGCTCCGCCGTAATAAGCCGGACCCAGGGCATGAGGACGCGAAAGTGCACAGGCAACTTATTATTGAAGAGCAGATCTTTCGCCACGTTCTTCGCATTGTCCGTAACCTCCATAGTCTCTACCTGCTCATCCCAGTACTCCCAAAACGCCTTCCGACTTTCAGGCCATTCCTCCGGCTTGACGCGAAGCGACACCGCCAGAACGGCGTACTCGCGATATAATCGCTCGGCGGTAGGCTCGTCCATCGGACCAAAGATCTGCTCGTACATGTCGGTTCCGACGGCATACAGCGTCGCAGCAACCCAGACCTGAAGCTGGGTGTCGTTGGCATCGTAGTCCGCTCCCTTGACAGGGGCATGAGCGCGATGCACCATGTCGACAACAGTGCTTTTCTCGTCAGGGGTGCCGAACGCCATGCAGTAGACGAACGTCATTGTAGTACGGAGACGGTCCAGAGGCCGGTAAGAGAAGTTACTGTGGTTATCAACCCCTTTACCGACGCCGGGCATGGCGACTTGGAGAAGGATGGCGGCTGCGCCACCGCCGAGGAGAAGACCTTCCTGTACAACCTTCTGGATGTACTGGGGGTTCTCGAGGTAGATAGGAGAAGTCTTCTCTGATTCCGATGACGACATGGTGAAACAGGGAGTGAAGGAAACTGGTAAATAGGAAGTTTGACCCTGCCGCATGGTCGCACAACGTCCAACATGCTATATAAGTATACATGTTTCTGTGTAGCACGCCACAATCATATTCACCGGCCTGGCGGGATCAGATGTGAAGCTATCTTTCCAAGCCGCGGACCGCAGGAACAGCGCAAGCCAAGCCAAAGCATACATTGTGAAAGTGTCCCATGCCGATTGGATCGTGCTGGCCATCGAGGGGTGATAGCGGGGTTGAAGAAGATCAATCCCCTTGCGTTGGTCCCGATGCAGTAAGCATTGCGCACCCCTAGTCCCTGCACAGGAGGAAGAAGTCATGCGGCAGCATGTTTCACTGGGTAGATAAAAGTCTCGAGATGTCACAATCCGTCTCAATTATGGGTTTTTTGTTCTATACGGACTTTCCATTATGGCTGTGGGCGATGCATACCGATCATCTCATAAACATGTCCTCGGCACCAACAGGGGCGATATGGACCTAGCCAATAAAGACAAAGATGTTGAGAAAACAGACAAGTTCATGGATGGCAGTTCTGAGCATGTCGAGGCGGCCCATGAGCCAGAGACGCTCGGCAAGCGACAGAAGGCAAAGCGACATTTTCGACGATTCTGGTGCTGCTATCTGCTGGCAGCGATTATATTCCTAGCAATCTTCCTGCCTATTCTGTAAGCACAAATGGGGTTGTTTCGCATTCAGAGAAAATATACTAATGTCCAAAAAGCTTTCTCGTCATCATTCCAGCCATCGCACAAAGGATAGTAGACGACACTGATCTACCAGTCTACAGTGCAGAGATTCTCGATCCAAAGCCCGACCGATTTACATTCTCCCTGAACACTGCCCTAGATATCCCTTCTGGGTTATCTGTTCGAACAGACCCTCTCACACTGCGATTGTTCAACCGTGCGGTGAAGCCAATTCTACCTTACCTCAGGGTAGACCTACAAGGATATAACTTGAAAGGGCACACGAAGATGCATGTCACCCAGCATGATACAATCGTCGAGAATGAAGATGAATGGGTGAAGGCTCTAACGCAGGCCGTATATTCCAAGCGATTCTTCCTGTCGGCGAAAGGGTCTACTACGGCACATCTGGGCGCATTGAAGGCGGGCTTGACTTTGGACAAGGATATAGAGTTAGACGGTGAGGATCTTTTCGTTGGTTTACGACTAGGTCACTGATGATTTCCAGGACTGGATCAACTCAGTGGATTTAGCATCGACTCTGCCCGACTACTCCTCCCGGCCGAAGCGGACGGGACCAATCTCCGGGGTGAAGCCGTTCTCCCGAACCACTCAGTCGTCACATTTGCTTTGGTACGGTCTCTCACTATCTGCAATAAGTAATAAAAACTTATACACCCCAGGGAAATGTGACTCTCAACCTCAAGAGCCAAGATATACTACTAGGAGAAGCGCTAATTCAAAACGTCATCCTCAAACCCGGCAACAACACCGTTGCCTTAAGTGGCCGACTTGATATTCGCACGGTTCTGCAAAACCTTTCCAAAATCGTGGCAGCACAGCGAGAGGCCATATTAAAGGGCAAAATCGAACTTTCGGCCCAAGGAAATAAGACAGTGTATGAGGGACAGCGGATCCCATATTTTGAGCGCGTGCTGAACAATCTGACTTTAACCGCGCGAGTTCCGATCGTGGGTGTTTTGATGGATACGTTGCAGGGCTTGGGTAATGGAAATGGGTCTATATGGCAAAATATCGAAAGTCTTGGGGATAGCGATAGCTTGTCAGATTTGTTGGATGGACTGTGATTTGAGTAAATATTTGACAACACTTTAAGAAGTGGTGTCAAGTGACAATTCCAAAGGTCTATCAAATGTCAGCCTAAAAGCCACACAAGCGGCAGCTCGGAGGCCGAGATCCGATCAGTCTAGGTCCATCATAGTAGACAATGACAGCTATATAAGCTGCCTGAGCCAGGTTAGGCAACAGGCAAGGCTCGGTGCTTACAATGTCGCAGCCAGAATCACCTAGGCATGCGATAACCGTCCACACCCGCGAAGATGTCGCACGTCACAACCGATCCACCGACTTATGGGTGGTAATTGACAAAGAAGTGTATAACTTGACGAACTTTCAAGCAGATCATCCTGGTGGTGACAAAAGTATGATTTCGAGTGCATTTTATAGGGAGTCTAGCATTAACCTTGGTCAGTCCTGCGCAAATTTGGCGGCCAAGATGCCTCGAACATATTCCACGAGAATCATCGGCAGTCGCTGTTGGCTCGGTATAAAGAGCGTTTACAGGTCGGCGTGGTTGAGACCGAAGTGCCAAAGAAGGGTTTCCTGAGCAGGTGGTTTGGTTAGGAAGATCCGCTTTATGTCGGCGAAACGTGCTTGTGTCTTGATAATTGTTCTGAATCTTGTTTTTCTTTTTACCTCGGCACCTCTGGCAAATATTAGTGTGACGACTTAATGCCTTATATATCAGGCTCTAATACCCTGGTGGGTCATGAGCGGGCTAACCCATGACAAGTGGAACCGCAATCAAGAAGTTCTCCAGGTTGTCGTGCTTCAAACGGGTCCTTGATATCAGGATCATCCCAATCACTATTATCAGAGTGTCGTAGGATCTTAAACTTTTGCGGGTGTATTTGGCGGTGATTACCACGTGACGCAGAGCTCCCCTGAATACACGGGCGCGACTCTTACATCTCGAACGCGCCGCCGAATCGCACCAAAATAAAAGAACTTGGACAGACTATGCAAACACGACTTCGATGGCAGGAAAAGGGGATGATACAATCTCGCACCCGACGGCCGGCCTGCTCCCAATATGACTCTGGATCGGCCGGAAACTGTTCGGGCAACTTGGACCATGTGTCGTTCGAGTTAAGTCCTACAAGATTAATCAAAGGGCCATGTCTCGATTATGTTACCCAGCTTCGGAATTTGGAACCTCCGCGGAAGAAATAGTGGCATCGGCGAGCCTCGATGGGGTCATGGACCTACGGATTGGACCACGCCCTTTTGGTCCTTTCAACAGCCACTAAGACTTCCACGCTTATATACGTGGAAACCTGGCAATCGAAAACTGTACACGCACATTTGGCCGAGAAGTTACTGAATGTCATACTAGGAAATACCGGAGCTGTTTCACTCATGCCGGTCTGTGTCTCAGGAATATCATGGTACAAAATGGAAAGGTCGCTGCTATTGTGGATTGGGGATTCGGGGGCTGGTACCCAGAGTATTGGGAGCATACGAAAGCCCATTACGGTCAAATGGATATACCGGGATGATACGAGGGGCTGTAATCTGCCCTCGATAGATATGACCATTAGCTAGAGGCCGAGCAGATTCTCTGGGATCAATGCGATGAGCCTGGTTTGCTTTGGGAAAGAGAGCGTCTCCCAGAGCCAGGTCTTGGGCCCGATAACCCAAACACATTGGACAACTAGATGATAACCAATTGGCCCCGATGAAATGCAGGGGCACTTGGGCAGGTCAAATGGATCCCAATGGTGCTCACACATTGTTGTTTTCGGCGCTTATCATCAGCCTCCGACCGCGCAGCTCAGCCGCATTCTAAAAGTAATAATATTCATTTGTCGATTTGTCACGATGTTGAATATATGTGTGTTCGTCATCTGCCCTAGCGGCTAAGCGCCATGGGATTCAATAGGCGGAGGTCAAGTTCGACATCATGGGTACGAAATTCTATAAATCTTACACTCTCCAATCCTTAGCCACCAGTATGCCTGACTTGCGTTATCCGACTTATTCTAGGCAAAAATTTGACTTTATACTTTGCGCATGCTCATCAACCGAATTCTTTCTTGATCCGCCTATCTCCCTTACACTTGCTGCAGGGGTTAAGGGTTTTAAGCACCTTCACACTATTTGGCTCCCAACTCAACCAGCCCGGCCACACATAATGGCCCTAATTCATCAGAAGACGCCGCAGATTCACTATTGTTTCATGAATATGAATGCGACTTATCAGTAGCGCCCAGAGGGCGCCACGGAAGTGAATGATAGGAAAGGCTGATCTCAAGACTCAGTATTTTCCCGTAAGATGCTCAAAAGTTATCAGCATTGTCTGTTCAATTCCTCGGGGTACTTAATGGCCCAGATGTCATGTTATTGTTGATGGAATTTTAATCTCGGAACTTGAACAGGAGTCAAGTTGGCTTACAATTTCACATGTCCTACTTCAGGATATAATTGAATCCTCACTCTTCTCATTCCTCTGTCTTTGTCCATATTTTACCTCGCTACAACGAACAGCCGTGTGCATTCAACCGAAAACCATGAGCAACAAACGACAAGTTTGGATTACTCTACACTACCGGGACCGATTTTCTCTCGGCGAGCACGGAAAGCGACTCGGCTATGCCGCATACCACTGGTCAATCCTCATCACCCCCAAGCAGTCCAAAGGCGCGGACTGTTATGCGTACGACGTGAGTGATGGGCATTCTCCGGACCAAGTGACATGGGTCGATCACAACCCAAATCGCGACTGAGTATTCAGGGAAAAGCCCAATGTCAGCCCAGAGCTCAGATCCCACTTGCTTGGAGCAATAATGATCGGAAAGCTGCCAAAGGAGGTGTCTTTTTCGGAAATCAAAACTTATCTGAACTCAATTCCGGTTCTTGTCAAGGGGGTGGAGCCGGAGCAAAACTGTGTTAGTTGGACGCGATCTGCTATCCGAAGGTTACAGGAGAAAGGCCTGGCAGAGTAGTTCGCGGTTGATGGATTCATGGACGATGCGCTTTGCTACGCTGATGAGCGCATGGAGGACCCCGAAAATGTTCAGCGGAAGATTAACTACACCAGCCGGCCAATGTAGTCTGCAAAGTGGATGCACGCCTTTCTCCCGAGCACGGCCATTGGGACTTTTTTTTTATTTTTATTTTTATTTTTATTTTTATTTTTTTTTTAATGTATGTGTTTTGGTGGCTCATATTCCGCTCGTTTTACTGGGTTTGAGATATCGAACGTTAGCGCGGATTCCGGTATACTTTGTCTTTGACTCCTCATGTCAATATGGGTGGTTCTGGTGATTCAGTGTGTTTTTCATATTTGAAATATTTTTCTCTTAGGTGATCAAAGTCTGGAGATATTTATGTCTCCCAACCCCATTGTGTCCATGTCCGACATTGGAAAGAAACATAAACCTCTGCTCTTGATGCCTTCGCGATTGGCCTAAACACGAACACGCTGTATCGACTATATGCCAAGTACCAGCTCGCTTCGATGTCTTGGGTGAACGAAAATGTGACGCTGTGCATGAAACCAGTCAAAAGCGCAGCAATTTATTGAGAATAAGCTCACTGGAGATTAAGTATGCACTTAACCAGGCGTACAAGAAGTTACAGTTGGCCATGGAGAGCATAAAGGAAGGGAAAGTCTATGACATCATAAAATACCAGGCCGGAGCAAGGGGTGATGTAGGACCTGTCAGACAGACCGGTGGTAAGCACTGACGCTCAAGGCTGGGTGCCCGATGAGGAACAGCTCCAATCGCTATAAAACGTGGCAACCCGAGGGGATTATGGGGCATTGAGAGACCGATAACGAGGAAACTGCACTTGCTCATGCTTTCCTATTGGATCGCCGCCTCAAAAACTGTCAAACGAACCTCAGATTAGCCAATGGCCCCTTGCTCAGTGCAGCTCTATGTCGGACAGGGCTGACTCGACGCACACCGCAGCTTCTACGATTCACTGTCGGGTAAATGACGGCATCAATGCTGCAAACAAGCTGACAAATTCTCCAGGCGTGTTTAGAACGTTTATCATCTCCCACACCGTATATCGGGAACGGTCGCACATTCTCCACTACCCCAATGAGCATCGTTCCTGAGTTCGGCGAACTGACGTCCTAGCACTAGCGAAACAGACTGCGGACTGAGGAGAGTCGACAGTGGTTTTCCCCATGATAGTCGATAAAATTCAACATCGGCAAAAACATTCTAAAGGGGAGATCAAGTCCAGGCTGCTCTAATTATAAAAGGACCCCACGTACCAAAGTCAGGGGGCCGCATAATCCCCAAGTTGCGCATAAGACGGGCACAAATCGGCATAAAAATCTTCGCCGACCGAGGAGAGTGGGACTAGAGACACACGATGGTTGGTCGGTTCCCCTACCCGAGCCGGTCATTCCTGGCTCGCGTGCCCTAAGTTTGGTCGATCGGCGTGTATATATTCTCCGCGTTCGTCGGTCCGGTTAATTTTCATTTCGCAGGGATTGATTTGGTGGCATCTTGCACCTTAAACGTCCGGTTAATTGTCATGGCAGAATTCAGAGATTTGGAAAAGGGCAACGAGGTCGTCTCTGAGTCTGCCGAGGAGCAGACCCTTCCGCCGCAGGACAAAGCGCAGGTCGGTTCCGTAAGGGGAAATGCTGCGGATGCAGATCAGGTCGACTGGGATGGGCCCGAGGATGAGGAGAACCCCTTCAACTGGCCGCGATGGAAGAAGATGCGTCAGTTGGTGCTGATGGCTTTTAATACTTTCATCACGTAAGTTCATCCTTCTCATGCGTCGGAATTAGTTCGTGGAATTGCGCTTATCAGCACAGTCCTCTCGCCTCGTCCATGTTCGCCCCCGGCGTAGCGGACGTGATGCGCGAATTCAAATCTACCGATACCATGCTAGCATCGTTTGTCGTCTCGATCTATATCCTGGGATACATGGTCGGACCGTTCCTGATCGCGCCTCTGTCGGAGCTGTACGGCAGGGTGCCGTTGTACCATACATGCAATGTGCTATTCCTGATCTTCACTATCGCCTGTGCCGTCGCCCAATCCTTGCCGCAGTTGATGGTCTTTCGGCTTCTGGCTGGCATCGCCGGCGTGTGTCCGCTCACTATCGGATCGGGCACGGTCGCAGACATGGTCCCCAAAGAGAAACGGGCTGGAATCATGGCGATCTGGGCGTTGGGTCCAATTATGGGGCCGGTAATCGGTCCCGTAGCGGGAGGGTTTCTGGCCGAAGCGGAGGGATGGCGGTGGGTGTTCTGGGTGATTGCCATCGCTGTGAGTACCTCTTCTCCTGATCGGGAGATGCTGAATGATATATACTGACCGAACAGACCGGCGTTATGACCATTGCATGCATGATTTGCTATCGCGAGTCGTATGCGCCCGTCGTGCTGGAACGCAAGGCGGCTCGTCTACGCAAAGAAACAGGGAATGAAAAACTCCACAGCGTCCATTACAAGGGCCGACTTACTCTTGATCTATTCTTGTCCGCTTTGGCTCGGCCGGTGAAGCTATTATTTCGCTCTCCGATCGTCTTCATGCTCGCCACGTTCGCCTCCGTCACATACGGCTACCTGTACCTGATGTTCACGACCATTACCCCAATTTTCGAGAACACGTATGGCTTTTCACCGGGAGTCGCTGGACTGTCGTATTTGGGCTTTGGAATCGGCAGCGTCCTCGGTCTGGTCATCTGCGGCGTCGTTTCGAATCGCATCGCCGTTGCACACACCGCGCGAGGTTGCTTTACGCCCGAGTCTCGTCTCCCACCCATGCTTGTCGGATGCTGGGCGATCCCGATCGGATTATTCTGGTACGGCTGGTCCGCCAAAGCACAAACTCACTGGATCGTACCGATTCTCGGCACGGGGGTCTTCGCACTCGGTTTAATGTCCGTATTCATGTCGGCCAACACATACCTGGTCGATTCGTACTTGCGGTACGCGGCGTCCGTGACAGCTGCTAACACGGCCCTGCGATCGCTCGTCGGCGCCGTCTTGCCTCTTGCAGGACCCTCGATGTACGATGCGTTGGGACTGGGATGGGGCAATTCATTGTTGGCTTTTATTGCGTTGGCCATGTGCGTCTGTCCGCTCCTATTCTGGCGGTATGGAGCCGCGATTCGGACCCATCCACGCTTTCAGGTTCGGCTGTAATCGGCGATAAATCATTCTGCACGTCGGCAGTTCCATTTAGCGTGTAAAAACAATAAAGTGGCTTTCTTCTGTCGCCTTTGGGGGCGGCTTGCATTGTATTGCATGGCATTGCATGTGCTTGTTTGGGGAACAATGCCTTGGCTGATAGAATACGAATTAATGCATAATACCTAGGGTTAGTTTTTGGACAGGTCATCCAGTACTAGCCAGCCTTTTCAGTCTCAACGATCATTGACTGTTTGGCGGCCCCTAGCTTCACAAGCACCACGCCAAAGGGGCTGATCAGCCCTAGATTCCTGCCAAGATGCGGCCAAACAGCCACCGCGACCGAGTTCCGAGCTACCGTGGATCATCGGACGAGCGGGGTTTGACCGTCCTTGGTGGAATGACATTTCGTGCTCCTATATTTATTTATTCATTGATTCATCCATCCATCCATCCATCTATCTGTCATCACGGCGGCTCGTTCACAACACCTCCATTCCGTCCCCACCCTCGGTCATCTCCACCATGATCTTCGAACCACTTATTCGACATCCCCTTCCGTCGAAGGACCTTCTTTCCTATATCTTCTCCGACCCGGATTATAATCATGACCAGCCGGTATGGGATTCCGTCCGTGATTCTGTGGTTGCGACCGCGCTGACTGACACCCCGCGCAGATGTACGTGGACGTGCACGACACTTCACGCTCGATCTCGTATAACCAGGCTCGTGTCATCATCCGCCAATTGATCGGGGGGCTGCGCGCATGGGGCGTCAAGAAGGGCGATTGCGTTGCAATTAATTCATTCAATGATGTAGAGCCTCCTTCCATTGATCTGATATCCCCAGTGGTCGCAATGTATGCTAAACTCAGAACAGATTTACTATTGCATGCTCGTGCTGGCGATCATCGGCGCGGGGGGTATTTTTACCGGCACGAATCCTTCTTACACGCCGCTCGAATTAGCGCATCATTTCAAGACGTCGGAGGCGCGATTTGTGATCTCAGAGCCGGAACTTGTCAGTGCCGTTCAAACCGCCATCAAAGAGTCGCGGATTCCCGACAGGAATGTACGCGTGTTCAATCCCCGCGATCAGCCCATCCCGGAAGGTTATCGGTCGTGGACGGAGTTCTTCGAGGCGGGCGAGGCGGATTGGGTATCGTTTGACGATGAGAAGATTTGCACCGAGACGACAGCCGCACGGTTGTTTAGTAGCGGGACGACTGGTCTACCGAAGGCTGTGACTATCACGCATCGGAACCTGATCGCGCAACATGAGGTGGTGTTTGAAGTGAATCGGAAACCGCATCAGGTAAACATTCTCGCCCTCTATCTCTCGTTCGCTCTCTGCGCTTTTGGTGACTGCCATGAGGTTTCTTCGCAGCTAATAAAACCAAGATATCCCGCGTTGTCGCAGTCCCCATCTTCCATGCCGCAGCCGTGCCCTCAGTTCACTTCAGCACACTTAAGGCCGGCCAACCGACCTATATCATGCGTCGGTTCGAACTGGGAGAATTTCTTCGCACAGTCGAGAAGCACCAAATCACTGAGCTGGCCATCGTCCCGCCCATCGCCCTCGCTATCATCATGAGCCCCATGTCCCGCGAGCGCCCGTATCTCAAATCACTGAAATCAGCCGCCTGTGGCGCGGCGCCGCTAGATAAATCAGCCCAGGCCAGATTCCAGGCCTTAATGTCCGAAGGTGCGCCGTTTACGCAGGTCTGGGGCATGACGGAGACTTCCTGTGTGGCGACGCTGGTCCGGTATCCGGAAAACGACGACGGGGGTAGTGTTGGACGGTTGGTGGCGAATCTGGAAGCGAAGTGTGTTCCCCCTCCTCCGTTCTGTTTTGTGGAAACCTATCCATCAATGTTGCTCCTCGGCGGGGCTGATAAACTATCTAGGCTGGTCAACGACAAAAACGAGAATATCTCCGCATTTAACGTCCGGGGCGAGCTCTGCGTCCGTGGCCCAACGGTCACACCGGGGTATTTCAACAACGACGCAGCGAACGCCGAATCTTTCGACGCCGACGGGTGGTTCCACACGGGTGATATCGCGTATTGCGACCAGCGCACGCTCAAATGGTACATCGTCGACCGCAAGAAGGAGCTGATCAAGGTGCGCGGGTTCCAGGTTGCGCCGCCCGAGCTGGAGGCCGTGCTGTTGAGCCATCCGCTCATCGTCGATGCGGCGGTGATCGGGCTGCGCGGGGTGGTGCCGGACTCGGAGCTGCCAAGGGCATATGTGGTGAAACGACCGGGGGCCGAGGGCGAGAAGTTGACAAACGTGCAAGTGAGGGATTATTTGGAGGAGAGGTTGGCGAGGTATAAGGCGTTGACTGGTGGAGTGAAATTCGTGGATGCCATTCCGAAGAATGCGAGCGGGAAGATTTTGAAGAAGGTGCTGAGGGAGGAGAGTCAAAAGGAGATTGATCGGGGAGTGAAATTGTAAAAAACTCTTTCTCGTTCCGGTGGATTTTTCCTTAGTTAGCGTCGATGGCTTTAGTCCTTTGTATCATGTTCAAAGGTGGTATCCTGTTATGACGATCTACTATCTTGTCACCAACCTTCCATAAGAGGGCCATAATGAAGATCATGATCATTATTAATATCCAAATCTTTTGACGGGCAAACATCAAATGACTACCTCACATCTTTCTTCACTTTCCTAGACGTTGCTTCAAGGTCAACCTAACCCAATGAATTAGTCCTTCCCTCGCTCCCTCTTGTCATCCGATAGTTCAATATGCTCGGCCCCACCGGGCTTATTCTCTAGATCTTCTCTTCCTCCCAATTTCGCATCCTCAATTTCATCACCGTCGCGAGAACCATATGTCCTTCCCAACTTAACGTCTCGCCGCCAGAGGTACTGTCCAAACATGAAAATACTCCACCACATGACGACGAATACCGTGTTGACAATAAAGCCTTTTCGCCACTTGGGAGCTATAAAATCATGACAACTGAGTTAATGACTCTTCAAGCGGGAAGTGTTAGGAATAGAGAAGATAAAAAATCTTTACCTTCAACGACCGGGAAGACAGTGATCGGGTAGAAGCTGAAGAATATCCAGCCACACGTCATCTAGATGATGATTCAGTAAATAATTATAAGGATATAGGGGGACTCTAAATCCCACCATTGCACCAGAAGTGAATGCCCGGGCCTCGGAATCATCCTTCATGACCATATTCACCCATGGGAATAATATAGGTGTCACGCAGGATGTGAATCCAAGCAAGTAGTATGCCGTGACTATATCTGAATCAGTATCGCTGAACGTTGCACGGAGATTGGGAGAATCTTACAGTGCAGTCCAATTGGTATATCCCATGCCAGCAGGCAGAGATTCGCAAATAGCAACACGGCTGCCACCACTGACATCACCGCCCAGAACGGATACACCATGACCAATGAGGTTGCCAGAATTCCCACAACAATCGAGACGCATTGCACACCGGTCGGAATCATGTTGATCTCCGAGACAGTCCAGGTACCGTACTTGTCTGCACTGTCTTTCAGCCACAGAATCATCTGGCCGGCGACATAAGAAGTGCATTGGAAGCTGCAGACAAGTTAGATCTTTCGCAATGCTGATCAACGAGGTGGAGACGCACAAGATATACGTGAACACTGCAACATAGAAATGCCAGTGCGAAAACACGCGCTTCAGCATCCTTTTTCCAATCTTCCGACTATCCTTGACTCCTTCATCGCGCATCCGCGCAACACATAACTTATGATCAGCGTCGGTAAGCCACCAGACCTTAGGACTGGAGGGTAAGCCCGGGAAGAAGAAGAAACTGGCCAGTGCGATAGGAAGACTGATACATCCGTCGATGATGAAAAGCCATCGCCAGCCCGCCATGCCGTGAACACCATCGAGTCTTTCATGCGCCGCAGCTTGTAGATAACCTCCCATGAAGGAACCCAGGTTACTCGAGACGTACCAGACGCCGGCGCGCTTGAACATCTCGTCGCCGCGGTACCAGGACGACAGAATGTACATAGTCCCCGAGGAGACTGGCGTTTCAAGCACACCGAGGAGGAATCGAAGACCGTAGATGTCGTGCTCATTGCGGAGACGGCATTGAATGAAGGTGAGCACCGACCACGAGACTTCCGTGGCGGGGAGGAAATATCTGGCGAGTTTCGGACGGGAGATGACCATCATGGAGGGAATCTCGAAAAGCAGGTAGCCGATGTTGTAGAATGTGCCGAAGAGAGAGTACCTCGGGGCGTGTTAGTCAATCAACAGACATGAAAAGCCCTGAATGTGACTAACTGGTTTCCATTGAGCTCCAAATCCTCTTTCATGCCCGACGAATATGCATTGTTAATGTTGACTTGGTCCAGCCATTTGATAAAATCTAAGCAGTCAGCACCTATACACCAAAATGTATTTTGAAACTCACAAGCCAAACAGCACAGCGGCAGAAGCACATAGTCCAACTTTCGAAGAAGCTTCCTCTCTTCATTCGAATAATGGCTCGGATACCAATCGAAGAGGTACAGCCAGGCGACCCACAACGATCGCGGCTTCGGTCTGTTTGTAGACGAACTAGCAGCGGGGACTTTGGTTTCGTCTCCCAGGTCCTTCGGGGGGTTTAGAGAGTGCTCACGCGCGACCTGGTCCCCGCTAACCCTGTCTTTTGCAGTGCTCCCCGTCATTATGCCAGTCACTTGTTACCGTGAGATAGTAAATCGGGATATCGAATGTTTTGGGTCAGCAAGGGTCTGCCCGGGGGACAATCTCGCAATATCTACTACCCGATACACTCTGGTCATTTCTATATAGGCGCTTTGCTAAAGTCATGTTGATGGCGCTAAACTGGCTTCCCCATGCGAAGCGGCAGAGCTCAAGATTGCGGGGAGCTCGGGGCAGCGGACCCGCTCGGTGCATTGGGCCTGGGGGTCCGGGCGATCGTCACTCCGAGTGTGTAAGGAAGGATTCACTAAGTTTTTAACTAGGTCTGGTCGTGCAAATGGATGACTATTATGGAGGAGAAAGACGTGTGAGGACCGGAGAGGGGTAAATAAACGCGGAATGCTTAGCCCACTGAACCTCAGGAATCCAAACATCTATAGAACTTCCAGCATACAATTCTATTTCATCCCAATATTAAAAATTTTAATCCTCAAGTACTACCTGTTCCTCACCGGAGATGTTCTACAAAGAAGAGGGCCCTAAGCACTCACTGTCCTGTTCAAGCAGCAATTGCAGCTGAAGTGCGATCACTATCATCGAATCTGGATAGATTGATATAGCCGGTAAAAGGTTAAAACGCTATCGGTGTTTATTTTTATCTACTCCACGCAACCGTTGGATCCCCTGGGGCGAGGGAAACTGCGGGGAGACTCGGGGTTTCGGAGGATCTCATGCCAGCCGCAGGAAGAAAAGTCGCGGGACAAGCCAGCATCTCCCTCCGACTTCCTTCTTCTTCCCCCCACAATTTGACAGCTTCCACATGAATAATCGGCCCCGGAGATGGAGCAATACAACGAGCAAGAATCGTCCGGTCTAGCCGACAACCCGGATAAATCTTCTCAAGCTCCCGAAGTGGGTCACGCATGCAACCCTTGTCGAAGACGCAAACTTCGGTGCTCTAGGGAGCTGCCAGCCTGTCAGCATTGTCGCAAGTCGGCCCATGAATGTCTGTATGAGGCGAAACGTGCCAAACCTGGCATGAAAACTGGGGCGTTGGATAACCTCCACCGAAGACTTGGTGAGTACTAATGCCGAATCAAGCCTTGGGTACCATATGTTTCTGAGGATTGCCGCTGTATTTTGTTATTATTACCCTGTTTTTATTTAGCATTGATTGATGCGTCGTGCTCGTCATGCTCTGCGCTGATTATATCCTGTTCTTAGATGGACTAGAACGTTCGATCGAAAGACATCAAGCCAAGCTGGAAAGTCTGGAAGCCGAGGAGCCGTGCCAAGATAGCGATCCCAACATCAACGCCATCCTATCATCCCTGGCAACCAGTCTCCAATCTCTTAGTAAACGATCCTCCACTCGACGGGTTGCTTCCCGAGATGATGCTGGATCCCCGGCAAAACGACGACGGGTTAATGACGACGCCGGTCCCAATCAAGCTTTCACGGCCACCAATGTACCACCCTTGCCTGAAGATACCACCATCAGCACCACCATCGAGTCATACTTTCACTATGTTCATCCTTGGATACCGATTATTCACGAAGCTCGATTTCGGAGGAGGCTCGACGATAATGATGAGAGGGATAAGCTCCGACTCGTCATACACTCTATCTTTCTTGCCGCATCCCATTACACCGAAAGACAACACGACGCAGTAGCGTCGGAAGATGTCAGGGATTGGATAGTCGCTCAGGCTATGAAGCAGTCATCAGTCGAGGCCTTACAGGCTTTGGTGATTACTGCATACAATGACGTAGGAGCTCCTATTGACTTATAATAGGTGAGAACAAACGCTTATAGATGCAGATTGGGAATGGAATGACGGCGCATGCGTGGCCACTTATCGGTTGTCTATCCCGCATGGTCGAGCACCTCCAGCTGACGGTCGAGCACGACGAACCCACACAGTCGTCGTTCACTCAGCCATATAATTCGTTGCCCTCGCCAAAGAACTGGACAGAGGCAGAAGAGCGCAGACGACTGTTTTGGAGCATTTTCGCCCTCGATCGCTTCTGTTCAGTCAGTATGGGGTGGAACACTAGTCTCACATCCGACGATGTACACCGTCGTCTACCCTGTGATGGCATTACATGGCGTAAAGAGGATCCTGTTGTAACACCATATATCGGGATTTGGGATAAATCGGCTGGTCGCATTGGGAACCCGATCGCATTTCTACCTTCGCACCCAATGTCCGGTCGGGCAGCCGCAGAGACAGAAGTGGAGGCCGCGTCTGAAGCTGCTACATCGCCGGGTGGAGCGACTACAGCAGCTGACATGACCACAGTCGGAGCATATGCTTATTGTATCGAAGCTACCGAGTCTCTGAGTCGGGTAACAAGCTACTTCCTCCGGCAAAAAGTCAATATGCAAGACCAGAGGGCATTTGGCGCCTGGCTCACTCGATTCAAAGAGCTTGACCTTCGGCTCGTACATTGGAAGATGCTTCTCCCCCAAAAGTGGGCAATCAATGTCACGCAGCAGACTTCCTCAAGAATGGATCCGAACCTGACATTGGCTCATTTGACTCACAATGCATCTATGATTCTACTTCATCAGCCGATCGCATTTCCTTTACCGTCGTGGCCTTTCAAGAATCGGCTCCCTAGTCTCTGCAGCGTGGATACATGTCAAACGGCGGCCATCGAAGTTGCCTCTATCACAAACCAATATCTGAAGAACTCAGCAGAAAATTCTCCGTTGAGCAACCAATTTGCATTCTGTGTTTTCATCGCGGGTAGAGCTTTGCTATTGTCCTGGCAGCATAGCCCAGCGGGCACCTCCGTGGCGTCAGAGTTCTGGACGCTAATCAGCAGTCTTGATATCATGTCCTATCGCTGGACAGGAATACATGGAATCACTGAACCGCAACATCCTAGCCTATTTTCTAAGTATTCTGAAACACTAAGTGAGTTACACAGGCGATTCACTCAGGATGATTCCTTCTACATTAATCCTTCTGGATATACCACCGAGATGGTCCATTCGACGACAGATCTCGGGTCGTCTAGCAACACACCAATTGGAACTGGCAAGACTGAAAGAGTTTCTGCTCATCAGTTTTCCAAAACTAGCACTATCGGCCTTCCGACCAGTGGAAATGTACCTTCTGGCCCTTTACCAGGGAGGGGCGGAGCGGAAAATATTCCAACACAAATTCCAGACATGCCACCGCAAGGAGTGGCAAATATTGGCCCCAACCCTTTCACTCTGCACATGGCGAATGCGATCGAACAGAGCGGAGATGGTGATGATCCCATGGCAATATCGCAGATGCTGCTAGGTCAACAGTTCACCGACTTAGATCGAGTTATTAGTTTCAACGATGGGATTTTTGGACCTGAATTCGAGGCTCGAAGATGGTGATTAATTAAACGTTTTGCATGATACCTCTAACTATCCTCAAAAAATGAAAATGATGCCGGATAGTGAATAATTCACACACGTGATTCTTGTATTTTAAACGTAGAAGCGAGCGGGAAGCTCCATCCTTCCTACACACATCTCAACCCTGAGTCTGCTTCTACCCATTGGTTGCATCAAGATGACCAACAAATCGTATCGATAATCAAAATACTCTCGAATTTCAACAGCATTTCAAAACATCTCTAGTGGCACAAAGCCGCTCTCGTAACTACTTTTGGCGTTGTTCTACCTCATTTTCTCTCACTAATGACTGCTTTCCAGACTACAGATTTAAATCCTTCACAATGACCGATCCCTCTCTCGCCACCGGGTGGGCAGCTTACTTCAAAGAATGAACCAATTTCACATGTTCAACGTAGAGAGCAGAGCTTGTTTCTTCGGTGGCATGCCCGTGGCGCGACCCTTGCCGAAGCTATACGAATCCCATGTCAAGTAGCCGGTTGCCGAATTCTATCAGATAATAGTCCCCGTATACCAAGCCGTGGTTCTGGTACCGTCGTCGCGCATTTTCGTTGTTATTTGCTGTGCCATGTTTCAGTATTCCTTCGAAGGTGGAGTCTTGACTGCAATCTTCAACACCGAACTCGTTGTTGTCGCAAACAAAGTGCACCGTTTCAGGGGCTAACGAAAGATCGATCGTGTCGCGGACGATATTAATGGCTGCGTCCAGAAAATGTCGAGCAAGAGCGTCTTGGTTGACACTCGTGAGTGCCTGGGATAGAATGAGCAAGCCATTCGCAGCAATAACACCTGCCGACGAGTCTCGCAGCGGACCCACGACATCCACTGGAGCATCGAAATCCCAGAGTGGAACGTTTCGACCTTTTCTCTGCGCTGGTTCGCCGTTGAGAAGTCTGTCGTTTTCGATCTCCACACAGGAGGGCGCCGCTTCCAGTCGGTGAAGGAAATACTCCGCAGCTCCGCAGGCTGCCTCCAGAAATGTGGCATCTTTAGTCCACATGTACGTCTGCGCGTAGCCAAGGATGGCCCACGCCTGTCCACGGGCCCAGGTCGACTGATTGTTATAACCCTGTGCTGTCCATCGCCACTTCAACGCCCCAGAAGAGGGTTCAAGATTGGATACATGACATGTTGAGTACAGTTGCCCTTTGTAACCTCTTCCTTTCACGGCCTCGGGACGAAGGTGGGTGTGTAATAGGGTGTGTGCATGCGCTGTCGCCATTTCGGCCAGCGTATTGTTTCCGGTATGCGCAGAGGCGTAATACAACAAATCGAGGTTGCATAGGCTGTCAACGATGACTAATAAATTATCACTCATGTCGGTGACTGTGATCTCTTTCTTGATCAAGCAGTCCCAACTGCGAATAGCACCCGCAGATGGCACGTATCGGGTAGCCAGACTTCGGGCAGCTTGCACTATTGACTGAAGGCTCTTTTCGTCCCCTGTAAGTTCCCACTCTCGCTTCAACGCCGGCATCACGATGAATCCAATATCGTGCGTATCTTTTCGAAAAGCCATGTCGTGAACGGGAGTGGACCATAATTTGGATAGAGAACGAAGTTTGCTGCGGACCTTGTCAACCTCAGAATAGGAGACAGATGTCTGGAGTGACATCAGATGTGGATGCTTGATCGATCGTTCAAGTACCGCGAACAGAGACCCAGGAAAGAAGCCACATGTCCAGAAATCAGGATCGCGAAACTCGTACTGGCCTGCGTTGGGTCCATCCTGGGGGACAGTTTCTGGAAATCCGAGGATCTCCCCCGTGGCTTTATTGAAAACTTGCGGATTCTCTAAGCCCCTCGATGCAGTGCGAATGATCTTTGCGCAAATATTCTGAGAAAACAGCTCGGGTATCTTGGAATGGAGAACAGGTTTCAGGTGCCCCTGGAATGTCACCTCTTCGATGTCGGACAAAGACGTATCACTTTCCGGTACTTTTTCCTTAGGCGTCAACGCCAAGTACTCAGGGGAGGACGATATACTAGGAGTGCGCGAAGATGCAATCATCGTGAACGTTATGAAGATTTTCGGAAGGATGGATGTAAGTGTTGTTGTTGAAGCCAGCATATGCCCATTGGGTGCATCTGCAAGAGACGCCTTACTTATTCGGGGCCCTCAGATACCCCGGAAATAGGCATCTACGAACATGGGTGAGTGCAATACTATTTAGTGCCTCACTCTTTCATGGTGTACCATTCTGGGTATTGTCCATCCGACAAACCGACGCCAATCCTCCGTCGCCCGAAATCTTTCCTCCGGTCTGACATCAACGGCACTAGCGTCTTGGAAGGTCTTTCGGGACCGATTCATCCGACCCTGGCGCAGCAAAGCGGAGAAAGCATGGAGTGCAAACGAAAAGCCATGAGGGGCTATTTGGTTTTGCGGATGTCATCACGTATCTAAGGAGCATCCCACCGCATGAATAAACGCACGACTTGGAAACTCTCACGTCAACATGCTGCCACTGTATGGTTTCTCCGATAATCCATTCCAGTCACGATCGGATCTTGTTCGAGCCGCCACATCCATCGTGTCCGTACTTAATCCATACAAAAGCAAGGGAAAAGCAAGGATAAAGCTCCCAGTTGCAACAGCAGCAGGGTTCGATGATGTCGCAGCACAGTTGGAAGGATTCGCTCGTCCCTTATGGGTGGTTCCGCTGCTCTTCAACGAGGAACTTGGGAATGAGCATAGCGCCCATCTCAAAACATGGATTCAAGGTTTGGTGACTGGGACAGATCCTGAATCATTGGAATATTGGGGTGAATTGGAGGACTTTGATCAGAGAATGGTAGAAATGGAGTCGATAGCATTTGCGCTTCTATGTAATGGGAATGCGTTTCTCGGGCCCATGAGTAAGCAAGCAAAGAAAAATCTTTCAAACTGGCTTGGACAGATTAATTACCGCCGCATGCCACAGAATAATTGGCTGTGGTTCCGCATATTTGTGAATATTGCGCTCGTCAAAGTGCTGGGAGTCTCGCGTGATGATGTCCAGCATCAAATTGACGCAGACTTCAGAACACTCGATTCCTTTTATATTGGAGAAGGTTGGTCCAGTGACGGTCTGTGGGGTGACGAGCGCAAGCAGGCAGACTACTACTCGGGGAGCTTTGCGATTCAATTTGCCCAGCTCTTGTATATCCGTTTCGTTGGCGATGAAGATCCCACACGATGCGAGCAATACCGTCGTCAAGCACAAACCTTTGGCGGTACATTCTGGAGGTACTTTGACGCTGATGGTATGATCGGGTAATGTGCAAAAGCTCTTTAATTTGGAAAGCTAATCATATCGGATAGGTGCCGCGATTCCATTTGGCCGCAGCATGACGTATCGTTTTGCATTTGCTGCCTTCTGGTCCGCCATGGCATGCGCAGATGTTCAATTACAAGCAACTTCTGATAGCATTGGTGTCATCAAAGGGATGCTCTTACGCCATTTGCGCTGGTGGACCAAGCATACGGAGATTTTCAACTTAGATGGAACACTCAACATCGGATTCACCTACCCGAACATGTACTTGAGTGAGGCATATAACTCTCCACAATCAGTCTACTGGTGTTTGAAGACATTAACGGTCCTCGTGCTTCCAAAGGGCCACATTTTTTGGGCGGTCCCAGAGCAACCACATCCGCTAGTTCACTCGTCCAACTCTCCACAATCACCGAATTCTGTCCAAGACGTCTGGCCTCCGAGACACATTCTGTGCAATACATCGGAGCACCATTTCCTCCTGTCGTCCGGTCAAATGTCCCGAAAAGCACATAAAGGGCGAGAAGCCAAGTATGGGAAATTTGCCTATTCGTCTGCTTTCGGGTTCAGTGTACCAGCAGGGCTTCTGCTCGAACAGCTGGCACCCGATAGCACAATATGTGCGACTCATGACGACGGGGAGAGTTGGAAGATGAGGTCACAGCCGTATGATGAAAGGTTGATAAACGTGAAAGTCAAGGACAGCTTCCAGCAAGAACGAGACATACAATCCTTGGTTAGCGAATGGCGACCGTGGAAATACCTTGATCTGTGCATCACAACCGCATTATTCCCGCTGGTCGAGATCTTCCCCGGCTGGCATGTTAGAGTCCACAGGATCAGATATCGAGGAACCTCGTGGATTGAGGGCCTTCAAATCGTTGACAGTGGGTTCGCTCTCGGCGCGGAGACTCCATCCGGTCGCTTCATCACTCCAGAGGTCGAGCAAGGCTCAGTCACGGATGGGGGAAGCTGTCTGTTGAGTTCGCCTGCCGGGACAAGTGCAATTGTCGACATGAAACCGGAAACAGAACGGGCAGCAATTGATACGCAGATAGAGGTCCGGGGCGAGAGCTTCGCGCTAAGGGCTGATCCAAACACGAATCTCATGTCGTCGAGAACCATGATACCCTCGATAAAGCACCACCTAAAATTGAATGGGTTCGAGCGAAACGCAAGACGGGAGGTATTCTTGGTATCGGGTGTCTTTGCTGTGGGCGCATCCGCGGGCTTGGATCAGGACACGATTCGAGGGATGTGGTCAAGACGACCTCGGCTGCGTGTGGAAGTTGTTAGCGATGAAATACAAATCAGCGTACAATGAGTAACGTGGAATTGATTGTTCAGGACATCGCAGTTAGGCTGTCACAATCGCTCGTTCCCCTTGAAGTACCCCGCAAATGTCCATCCGGGCGCTTAATTATAATCCCAACCCCATGTCGCCTACCTCTATCATCTTGCCATATCATCATCAAGGGCCCTTATTATCCCTTATTATCATCACACCTTTTGTAATTTGACTTTGAACCATGCGCAATAAACGCCAAGTCTGGGTATCCCTTCATTCTCGCGGTGCGCTCTCCCTCGGGTCAAACAGGACCCAACTAGGCCACGCTGCATTCCACTGGGGAATCCTCGTTAGCCTCAAAGTCTCCAGCGGTGCAGACTGCCACGCCTACGACGTAACCGACAATCTTTTAATCGATCCAAACAGTCGAACAAACCTCAACCCACATAATGGCTGGCGTTTTCGTCACAACCCAAACGAAGACCCAGAACGCAACCCACGTATCCTGGGGATGGTCATGATAGGCAAAGTTCCGAATGACGTTCCGTATGACGATATCGAGGCCCGTCTAGCATCTCTTCCGCTGCCGGATAAGGATGTCCAACCGGTCCAGAACCGCGTGACATGGACGATGGCCGCCATTGGGAAATTGCAAGAGATTGGAGTCGCGGAGATGTTCGATATCAGCGATTCATGGACGATGCAACGATGTTTGCTGATCGGAGGATTCGAGATACGACGCAGACGCCGAAAAAGATGAATTATACGCGTCAGACGATGTGAGACCCGCGTTGTTTTGACTGACCTGAGGCATCAAGGGATAGGAGTTTTCCCTTATCTATGATGGGTTTGCGATATAAGGCAGAAAGGAGTCATGGGATGATGGGGTCTTTAACGCCGGGATTGTGGAAATATAATCCACAACTGGCGTATCCGGTCAAGGTCAAAAGTAGTTTGCGGCCTCTCACAGCTCATAGTGGATCGTTTTGTCTTCCGTTGGATGTTTTCTCCGCCTCAGGCACCTCGTCAGTGCCTGCATCTGCTCGATATAGCTAGCCTCATCATCTGACCCAGAGTGGGCCTGCGCATCTAGACAGCCAGCGGTCTTGAAGACCTTCACTATTCAGTCTTCACACTCTTCACACTCCTTAGCTTCCTCAACTCTCCCTCATCTTACTCATCACAAATCTTACCCACTTTCGTTCCTCACTTTCTTCCTTCACTTTTCTCCCTTACTTTCTTTTCTCAATTCCATCTCTTCATTTCCCTCGATTCCCTCAATTTGCTTCACTTCGTTCTTGTCGACGCAACAAAGACAGTCCCATCCTAGATATCCTTTGAGAGACATAAACTAAATGCGACTGGACCGTCTACGAATGAGCCAATCTCGGACTCTTTCAAGCTACTGCGATTGAATCTGGTCACCCTCGACCACTGATTGTCACCATGCCGCTCTCCAAAGACCAGGTCTTCCGATTGATGTGCCCTGGTGACTGCACACCAGAGTGGCAGGAATCCTTTGAAAATGCGCGCATCGACCAGATAGGCTGTACGTTTTTGGAAGATCCATCTACGACCATGTGGATGGATGGATCTGGGTTACAGATTCTTTGGGGACACGGTCTATGTAGGTCAATATCCTCAAGGCTGAACTCAGCAGCTGACAACAGGCGTCTAGCTAGCTCCGGAAAGACGTTTATAGCCTCTAAGCTTGTCGACCATATTAACCTGAAACAAAAACGTCGTGAAGGTCACCAAGCAACAGCGATCTATTTCTTTGATCCTAACCTGTCTCAATACACCGTTGATGACTTTGAAAGTTCGATTTGCTCCATTGCCAGGCAGCTGGCTGCTCAACTGCCCACGTCATCGACTGGGGTCCTTGACCAGATCTCGGAAACGACTGAGTTCTACCCTTTGACAGATGGATACGAAGATTCCGCCAAAATATTCCATGACATGCTTTCTACTTTTGATCATCTATATCTCGTGTTGGATGGTATCAATGCGTCCGACCAGGTTGTTCTCGCTCTACTTGATTTTCTCAGCGGAGGTGAACCCCATGGAAGAAATATGCATATTCTTTTCACAAGTCGAAACCCGCCTCCTAATATTCAGGCCACCTACGGCATGTCGGTTGTGCAAGTCAGAGTAACGGAAGAAGACCTGCAACGTTTTATTCTACATGAAGCGGGAATGGATGGATCCGAAATTCAGAGATCCGGAAATGAGGATACTTTCCAGACGGCACTCACGGATATTTTGAGGCTCACAGATTTCTGGTATGTGTTTTTTATATATGTAGTAGAGAGGTGGCTAAATATTAAACCCGAAGCTTCCCGCCGTTACCTCTGTATAGAGGTATGGACCCAGCTGCCCTACTCGCGACGTTGTCCAACGCACATGAAAACGCGTCGAAAATGCCTGCCGGCTCTGAAACTACGGCATTGAGCCAGTTCACAATGTTACAAATAAGCAAAGTCTACGGTCTGCTTGCTTCCCGAGTCCTCCACCTAGTAGCCAAACTTGAGCACCTTAAATACCCCAAAACAGCTACAGTCATCACTGATATGATTCGAGTATTGGGAGCAACTCGCGCAAACGGTACCTTCTATACAGTCTCTGATATCATTGAGTCATGTCGGGGATTTATCATCGTCAGTCACAAAGATTTGGAGATAAAAGTCAAGTCACCTTTCTTAGAAAATTATCTTCTTGGAGAGACCTGCGAGGGCAAAATGAACGGCGACCTGGTTCAAGCCTCTCTCAAATATTTGTGTGGCGAGAATTTTCGATTAGGCCCGTGTAAAACCGCGGCAGATATGGAGCAACGTTTCCAGAAATACCCATTCTTGCCCTGCGCCTCTCGAATCGTCTCAGCATGTATACCCACGCAGTCAGATGTCGATAGCATTTTAGATCAATTCTTTCAACTCGCGTCAGACCCCAGAATTTTCGAGACTTACTTGCAAGCGGCGCAATCCTGGCCATATAGAGACAAAGCCAGCTACGCAGAACTCGAGGCCAGCGAGCCTAAGTGGAGACCTATGAAGCCCGGTATTACAGTCCTCCACCTTGCCGTGATTTATAAATGGGGGAAAAATTTCGTCGAGGGGATCCTTCGACGCGGTGTCGACATAGACGCTGTTACGACCACGGGATTGACAGCACTGCACCTTGCTATAGAGGTTCAATCCCAGACAAAGATCGTTCAGGTTCTTCTTAGGAGCGGAGCCGAGGTGTCAGCAATTGACCAAGACGGAAACACCCCATTGTCGAGAGCTGTTGTCGTTGGAAGCCTGGGGACTGTGAAATTGCTTGTTCGGCACGGAGCGCCTGTCGATGACCTTTGCGAGGATATTCTAGTTGAGTGTTCTGTCTCGCAACCGGAGATTTGGAAATATTTGACCGAACTCGGAGTCAGTTTGCCCGATATCCCAACGGAGTGGGAGTCCAGTCACCGGATGTGAAGAGGATGAGATGAAGAAAACCCCAACATGGTCTATTTTCTTTGATGTTTTCATGAACCGCGCTGAATCAAACGATGTATTTACTATCTTATCTCATGTTTTTATTAATCAATTCTCAACGGTTCCTTATTCACAACTGCCCTTTATCAACCTGCACCGGACGGGAGCTAGTTAAATTCATAATTTGGCTCAAAGTAAGCTCCGAATCGACGTCAATCACCATGAAATTGTCATAACCTGTCCCAAATTCTGTGCCTAAAATACTGTTCGCGCTGGGGTCGGACAAAGGAGACTCGGCATCCTCTGTCGCATCACTTGCTGATCGGGTAGAGCTTGGACAGGGCCACTGACTGACTGAGACTGGTGAATCCCTGTATTCGTCAAGACTTATGCAGTTTTGCCAATTTACTGGTGATATTGAGTCTGCTCGATAGAATGGGAGAGTCTTTATAACTGCAGACTCCAGAAACGATGAAGCTGATCGAGCGTTGGGATAGTTTTCTCGCAATTCCGTTAAACCATACAGGCAAACATTCAGGCGCTGAAAGCTAACACTTTGAGAGATGGCATCATGGGCACCGAGAAGATGTGCTATTACCGCCGAATATACCGCAGTCACTGCTGTTGCTGGAAGAAACTTGATTAGATCCAAGACGCCCAAGTCTTGGATTATATTCGTGACTTGCTCCGCAGCAGAGAATAGTTTTTTTTATGGGTAGCTCGCGCAGTTCCGGGTTCGAAAGCTGGCTGAGCCGTGCATGTGGTCGGTACAAAGCCCCAACCAGGGCCAAGAAAACCATTCTAAGAGATGACCGTTGAACATGCAGGAAACCCTCAACATTTGTTACATTCACCAAGTCGACCGATGCATATTGGGCTTCTGGTGCAAGGCTTATCGTACAACCTTCTAAATCCTGCGCACACTCAGCGGCTTGGCCACTTTGCTCGGTCGTCCTAATCAAGACCACTCTGGTAACAGGGTCGATTTGAACCGAGTACTGTGACTGCAGCACACGATGTAGTCAGTGGCAAAGTCTCACTTCCTCAGAAATATCACTGCAAGCGACCTTTGATGCTCAGCGTTGCCAAGAAGACCCGAATACCCAGTCGAGTTGACCGTCGCCGCCGACAACTCGAGTTCGAAGTGATCGATCGTTAACGGCCGAGTATCAAATTCGACACTGCTGATATGCATTGAAGGTCTCATATCCAACGCCATCAGGCAATCGCGTGCATAGATACACCACCAAAGACGAGTTCGTATCCGCGCAGTATCTTCGTCCGCGAAGTGAGGCTTGCGATGTAATCCGATTGTTTGGGCTACACCCAGCGAGAGGCCTAGCCAATGACAGCCATCTTTCGGCCCTCTTGGACTTTCCTCCCAGTAGCTCATAAGCAGTAATGATTGAGTCAGGGTCAATCGATCTTCTTCATAGTCAAAATCATAGAGCAGTCTAGCTCGCTGAAAGAATGTTGTTCGAGCTTGGATTCTTGACTCGAATCCGGCCGCTTGAATGTCCTCTATGTTGACAAATGCGGACGCAGCGAACAACACTGCTTGTAACAGAAGTAGACTGATAGAATGGTCTTTATCATTTTGTATGATGGGTCGTATTAGCCCGTTCAAGTCTAGCAATGGCAAATCCGAGTGGACGTGATGGGCATAGCTGGTAAATAGATTGTTTCGAAAGCAGGTAGCAGGAACGCAGAGGGCCCCCTTCTCGGTCAAAAAGTTGATACTTTCTTGATCCAAATGCGCCGGTAAATGTCTGCTGTACTGAGGAAGGATGAATCCCGTTTCGTGGTCTCGCGTCATCACCGGCGATACTATTTTCGATCTAGGGCTTTCGCTATCTTTCAACTCGGCTAAAACGCGTACTTTGAAGACGACGTCAGCTCAATATCTAGAGGCGCCTTCGCGTGGATGTCTCACATTTACAAGCTCGACCCTTTCCCGGCGAACAAGACTGCTCCTATCTCCTGGTTTCATCCGCCGTTCTTGAAAGTACCGATAAGATTCAAATCAGCAATCAACGCGAGTGTCCTTGAAACCAGAACGAACCTTTTCCTCCTTCCCTCAAGAATCATACAATCAACTTTATCCAATCGAAAATTCGTGCACGGCGATTCATAATCCATGACATCGCAGCGGACTTTGCGACCGCCACAGTGACAACAAGCTCTGGTGGCGCGTCTTTTCCTCCCAGGTACTGCATTCATCATTGTTGTATGTTGAGATTCAAAGCCATGAAGTAAACATGGATAGCCCTTCCATTAAATCGCTAGTACGCCATTCCAGTGCCTATATACAACATCCTACAAACCCTGTGTCGGACGCCTTTGCTTCTTAGGGCATGTAAACATTCCCTTAAGTTCGATTTACATCCCCAATGGTTGAAATGAGTCTAGATTCATCCAATGAGATCATTCGCCCCATATACCTGGGCATAAACAAGGTGGGTGGTACTGTACAGCTCGTGAAGGTTGAGTTGCAGGGCAGTCCGTCCGCCGGAGATACATTCTAAAAAGAGAAATGGACAGTTCGAAGGTCCGCGTTGGATCCGCAAAATGACTCGCGCTCTAGCAGACTCTTGCCGAGACACTTTACAATACTCCTTAGCTTTTTGGACCTAGTACTTGATAGTTCTAATATAACTGCAAACGAAGATATGCAGACGTCCAAACATAAGCACAAAATCCGTAAAACACCATTTATTCATACAGGATGTAAGTACCTCCGGAGTATTTGTTTCGGCATTCTCGGCGCCAGCACGTCGGCAGCTAGAAATGCCGAAGGGAGATCAAATCGGGCAGGAGATTCCGATTGGCTGGTGAGATCGAACACGCCGAGTAGGTAGATTCTATTGACCTCGAATAATATTTGCAAGTCGATTGATATCTGCCTAGAGGTAGATGGTATTTATACTCATAACTAAAGCCATTACCTGGTATCTCGGTCAGGTTCCGTTGAGTTTGATGATGCATGCATAGTAGCTATGTGGATCGCTAACAGAGTAATGGGGTTTTGTGGATGAATGTCTGATGTAAAATGCAGCTTTAACATCAGAAGCGACCTTTTAGATGTCCTAAATGGGTTGAAGCGGTTTCATAGTTCCTTGGGATAGCATAATAAGAAAACGATAAGCAGTCTATATACAACCATACTCTTCATCAACGAGTCCTCAATGTCCGCAGCTAACCGTTTAAGATAAGCCGTAACCAAGGTTCAATACAGATTCTTAACAAAACTTGGTCAATTCTGCAATCCTTTCAGTATTCCGCTGACGCGTCTCCCATTTATGCATTATTAGCACATGAAAAACTGGCACTACTAGGGTCGTCATGAATGGCCTTTCCAGACGCATACAAGCCGAGGGCGCACTATTTTCGTTAGGATCCAAGGTAAGACAAAGGGAGATAGGATTACAAACCATGATAACCCCAATCAGTATACAGAACATATTAAGCAGGGTCAAGGCAATCTTTCTATAGGATGCAAACCACAGGCCCTTGTTCATGAAGAGCCAGAAAACACCGGGAACACCGAAACTAAACCAACTAGCGAACAAGGCGGTCTATTAGTCGTTAGAAGCCTGGAACGACTCAAAGGGAAAAAAGGCAGAAAGAGACTCTCACCATCAAGCTAAGAAGGTTGCTGAACACCGGGATAGCAGACGCAATAATCCATGCAATAATCCAAAGGCCAACCGCAATGCCAATCCAAGATCCGATCGCAACAAAATCTCGCTTCTGCATTCGGTCGGTGCCAGCAAATACCCGAGTATAGATTGATTTGCAGGCGATGTGCCCATTAATGACACCTGCAATGATGATCTGCGAAGTTCTAAATTACCATTCCGTTCCGGTAGGTGAAATGGGAAGAAATCTTACAGTTGGCAGTGCGATTCCATATGCTATCTTCGAGAGCAACGGCGAGAGTGATCCCAGCGCAGGGGACGCAACGCTGTCCCCGGCATAAGTGTATACCACGACCGCTGCGACGAGATAGATGGAGATATCGATGCATTGAAGCAAGGTGAGAGCCTTCGGGAAGTCTCTAGGCTCTTCCAGTTCTGCAATGACGCTGAAGAACGCATTGTGGCTGGCTAGGACATGTCAGGTCATTTCTTTCATGTCAAAAATTCAACGTACCATATGATAAAGCAATGTTCAGGGCAGAGGTAAATCCATTGACAAGATTTGTTTCAACCGTGGCCTTTGCAATTGCTCCGGCGTGTTGGATGGCAACGGCCACCATTGTGATGATAACTGCGCTGAGGATGCTAATAAATGCTAGTGAAGTTAGTATTGAGATGAGATATTCGACAACGATTCACTCACAAGCCAACGATAGCCACGACATATTCTTCATTGTCCGCGGCAAGGACAGGAAAAGCGACACAGCAAATCCAGTGATCCCAAAAGCAATGGAGCACGTAGCATGGTTGGTGAGGGTGTTCAGAGCGACCGTGAATGTCAATATGTGACTTCCCATCAAGAAGATCAGAAAAAGAATTTGCCCAACGAAGAACAACTCTCGGCCAAACGGCCCCATCAATACCTCTCCAGCATCTGCCATACTGGTTATATGAGGGTATCTCCATTTGAATTGTCCAATAACATAGCCTGTGTAGGAGGCCAACAGGCCCAGACTGAGCAGAATCACTATAGCGGGCGCAAGGCCTAGCCCTGCTACGGCTCGAGGTAGTGAAAGTACGCCAAGGGATATCGTCTCTGCTACTAGAAGCAGGCCACATTGCCTTTTGTAAGAGGTCAGTAGATGTTCCGCTCAGATACTCAGGGAGAATAGAGGAATATGCCCATACCACCACTTCAATACTTTGTATCTGACCTCTGCATTTTCTTCATCTCCAAACGCGTCTTGCCTTTGTTGCGTGAAATCCACCTTTTGATCTTCAGTTGCAGTTGTGTCAAACCCATCTTCCCTAATTTCTCTAGGACTCTCGATATCGGCTGGGGGCGGAAGGTCTATTATTTGTGATGGCATTGTGATTGAGATATAGAATTCTGAATGATAAATCTGGGCTTTTGAGATATATCAATAAGTCAACAGCTTGTAACCACGGCAATGTGCAATAGGTTCTCGCGGTGTTTAATTGTTAAGAGGAAACAAACGGTAGATATGTTGAGCAGGAAAGGAGATAGAAGGCAGGAGAGCAGCGGGGATTTGGGTGATCCTAGATACGACGGACGGGATGGAGAGGAAGGCCCGCTGTGAGGGGGATGTGGGCTCCCACGCACCATAGACGAGGTGGCTTCGGGTCTGGTTGGCAATCTTAGTACGAGTACTGCCAGTGTGGACTTTTCTTATCCGTCGAGATCCGTTGATCAAAGATAGGGCAACTGTTCTGTAATGATTGACCGCAGCCAACTCTCTGACCGTTTACCATGCTAGTGAACACAGGCTATATCATTAATCCTGGTTCGACTACATGCACCGGAAGCCCATTGAAAGGCCATACCAGTGCTACATAGTGTTGATCAATATGTCATTCATAATCCATGGGATTTTGATATATCATACCCCGACTCTACCCCAGGTCCCGCAACCCCAGATTCGTTGATTGTGTAGATACTGTGGATTTTATGAATAATTGAAACTCGTAAGTAGCCAATCCCAGGAAAGTAGTTCCGGGTCCTATATTGACCATCGCCTCCCTTCCAGGCATTGAATATCAATCCTGCTACTGCACTGCGTCAAAGTCCACTGACATACAGGATGCACTTATCACTGATTATTATATAACTTTACCAGCATCTCTAATCATAGTTGGTTTTCAATGATAAGATGATAGCCTATCTAAACATTACATGAATCCGATCAGGATTGCCCGGTTTTAGGGTTTTGGCTCAGCTACCCCACAATAATCCAAACTTCCACGATATCAGCATTCAGATAAAGGGGTATCAATTCTCGGAATGTCATTCTATATTAGAGATGTGGCGATTGCCACGGTCTCGTGGACTTGTGTATCTTTGATATCAGTTGATTTCCTGCAGGAACTCCCGCGGAGTCTCCTTCCGTTTTAGAAGTGGGCCTTCCATGCCCATAGCCACATGTTCGTAGAAACTACCCTAAGACTCCAATTGTTGCAAGTGTCTTTTTGTTCTTACGAAAATGAAAATGCTCAATTATGCATAAAACGCGTCTATTCCGGTTTTTGTCCAATGGGGTATCTCCGCAGACTTGTGCACTCATTCTTCCATCGTCATATCTGACATCATAATACACCCAGTAGCCCTCCACTCTCAAATCGATACATATTTCTGTCCGTGTTTATGATTTTACAATGAAATTTTTGTTTTCTCCGTCTTTTTTTGCTTGTCTTGTTTTCCCTTACTTTAATTTTAACTTATTTAACTCGGATTTCTTGTCTGCGTGTTTATAATGGGAGGTGGTCAGCCGCAAGAAATAAGCAGCATACACTAGTCCTATCAAGTGCACATTAAGACGATCATTCTATGACACAAAATTTATTAAGAATATTTGGAAAATATAAATAATGCAACAGTCCAGCTTTTATTACTCCCCTCCGACACCAGCCCCTCCCATTGAAATGACCGCCTTTCCAATACCCCCCTGCCCATCATACACAACTTGACAAGCTTTCCGTACGGCCTCGATATCATCAAACTTGACAACAGACCCCACAACAGGCCTCAATCTGCCATCCTCGATATATTCTGTCAACAAATCGAGATCCTTCCCATTCGGCTCCAACAGCAAATACTCATACTGAACACCATAGCGCCGCGCTTTCCGTCTCCGGTACGCATCCATCAAGTTCAACGGAATGCGAGCATAAATCGGCACGGTGGGTTTATGCGGCAGACGCAGTAAATCCCAGTTTTGCATCTCGTTGCCAGACGGAAGAGTGGCGATGGAGATGATGTAGCCGTCTGGTCGCATTAGCGGAAGAAATTCCATTGCCTGGCCCACTGTGTCGAAGATAAAGTCCACCGACTTGGCAGGGATGGTCGTGAGGGGGTTCGATTTTCTATAATCGATGACTAAATTTCGGTTGTAAGTATCGGATTCTTAGACTTGATGTCAATGCAAGACTTACTCTCATCAACGACTATCTCTCCTAACAATTCCGGCACTTTAGGGACTTTCGCGGTGGAAACGGTCGTGATGACCTTTCCGGCCTTGAAGACATTCTTGGCGAGTTGGCACGCATACGAGCCTGTTCCGCTCACTACTTGATTGTTAGATCAGAAACCGATAGCCAAAAGAAGTGACACATACACCCAGCCGGAATAAAGACTGTTTTGCCTTCCAGACCGCCAGCATATCTGCGGAGAGCTTGCAGAGCAGTGAGAGCGGCCAGGGGAATCGAAGCCGAATCTTCAAATGATAATGAAGACGGCTTGAGAGCCAGACATTCTTCTGGACATCTGGCATATTCACTCCACGATCCTACCATTCATCGAATTGGTTAGTGCTAAAATACCCATTGGGTGGGTCAATCAAAGACGAACCTCGACAAGACCCCGGAAGACGCGAATAAACATCATCGCCAACTTTACACCTCGTGACTTCAGAGCCAATTTCGGTGACTGTTCCGGCACAGTCGAATCCAATCGGAGACGGAAACCTATGATAGGTCAGTAAGGGAACGAAAACACATGAGCAAACTAGTACACACGTATCCGAAACGACCATTTTCATCGCTCCTCCTGCATACTTGACATCGATCGGATTAATGCTCCCAGCATGAACCTTGATAATGACATCCTTGGGACCCTGAAGTTCTGGTTTAGGGATCTCGAGCATCTGATACCCCGAAGGGGGCGAATAAGCCTGTATAGCGACCGACCGCATATTTGCAAAATGTTTGATCTTTAACGTTCTTGCCTATCAATACGAGTCCCGGCCAGAATATATACCATTCGAGCACCAGTCCTTAGGGCTGAAGAGATCACTGGAGGCAATTGTATAATTAATTGATTATCCAATGAACCCGTCGGAGCCGGGACAATCAGTCGGGCCGACTACCCTGGCTCGCCACACGGAGACTAATCCGAAAATGGTCGTCAGTCCATTTCTGGTGGCAGCCAGTGACCAAAACGGTAAGGCTTGCGAGAATGGTACGTGCTCAGAATTGTTTTTCACTTTTCTACCTTCAATTGAACTTTATTGTTCCTAATGTCAATGTGATTATGCTATTTTGGTTTTATGGGTTTAGTTAATATTCATTCGGACAAAAGGGATGCTTACTTGCTTTACTAATGGATTCGTAGTAACTAAAAATATATTTTTTCAAATGCCAGTCATGATTCTATGGGGTCCAGGTCGTATGAACACTATGTCGACACACGCGACTAGGAGTACAGCGCTTAAATTGATGAACACACCTCAGATCTCACAACACGGCATCATTAGCCTATTGATTAGCGCCAGCACATGTCTGTATGTTGGCGCTTAGAGCATGCTCGGTCGCAGCCTCGCCTGTCCCTCTTGCCCCCATGAATCAAGATTTGGAGAGGAGTCGATGCAAGCACCTCACAAAAACCATCCTTTGCTCCTTCCATGTCGCGAGAACTAACTCTGTGTGTTGATTGTCACTACACACTAAGAACGAAGGATGGGCAAGAGAAGAGCCTCATCCGAACCCCCCTCGTCAGACCCAGCTGGGAAACGGCCCCGGAGAGATACAAGAGCCTTACATGAAAACCCCACCAGACTATCGAATCAACTTGACTCCGAATCCACTTCCGAATCCGATAACATCACAGAAATATGCGCTGAAGAAATTACCGTCGCGATTTTCTGCGCGCTCCCGTACGAGGCTGTCGCTGTGAGATATAGCCTCGATGAAGAATACACATGCCATCCGAGATCCATAGGACCACCGAAATATGTCTACTCTTACGGTCGGATCAAACATCACAAGGTGGTAATCGCCCGACCGCATTATATGGGAACCGTACAGGCTGGTCATTGTGCTAGTGCAGTTCGGCAACAATTTGTTAATGTACAGTTTGCTCTCGCGGTGGGGACCGGGACCGCGGTTCCCAATACCTCATCGCGAGATATTCGTCTTGGAGACGTGGCAGTCGGCCTCCCGCGCGACAACCATCCCGGGATCATTCAATTCGATTTCGGGAAATATGAGCAAGGGGCATTCCGCCTGAAAGGTTGCCTTAACAAGCCCCCTGCAATTCTTATCAGCGCAGACGGATCATTAGAAGAGGACGAAGAAATGGGCAGTAGCCGACTTGGAAGGTTCTTGAGGCATATTACGCGGAATTCACAATATGGATGGCCTAAGATGTGCGACGTTCCTTTGGAGCAGCATTTGATTGGCATAGGGAAAGCAACTATTTGTCGCGAATCCGCGCCAACCTGTGATAAAGAGCTTCTCTTGGCCCAAGAATTCCGAATGCCTGTCGTACATCGCGGCCTGATTCTCTCAGGAAACGGGATAGTTAATAACATTCGAGACTCGGACATATTCCACCGAGGGTATAAAGATGCATTATGTTTCGAAACAGAAAGCGCAGGAATCATGGACGAACTTCCGTGTCTTGCTATCCGAGGAATCTGTAGTTATGCAGATACTCGCGGGCGAAGCGGATGGGAGCGACATGCGGCTGCGGCTGCGGCTGCTTACTGCAAGACTTTGCTCTACAAGGTTCCTGGGCAAACGAACGAAGATACAAAGGCATTGCCAAGGTTGAGTAAGACAGTCGATCAGCTCTCAAACCAAATAAAGTGAGATTTCCATACTCTTATATCGTCTCATTCCAGAAGCTCATAAAAGCAGGTTCGTCTACCAGAGGGTTCATGAGCTCGAACAGTGCTATAACAGAACTCATCCGAAAACAATGAAGGTGAGATCAGCTACCACGGCATAGTGGAAGACAAGAAAGAATATCATATAGATGGCAATGTTAGGTTGATAGAGGACAACGAAGCGACTCGCCAGTGCATCATTCATGGTCCCGACATATTTGTCGAATCAGGAGCAGAAGAAAGACCCCTTCACTTAGCAAGCAACCTCAAAAATGAGCAAGAAGTTCTATCTTAGAAGTTTCATAGTCTCCCTTGACTGCTACATCTCTACATGTGGAGACTTCAAATAGTTAAAGGCAATTTTCAACCTCTGCAAAATCTTGGTCTATAAACATAGTATATGATGCAAATCTGAAAAATCCCTATATACAAGCCACACCACAACCAGATCCTACATAGAAAGGCCAGTCTGTGTATGAAATACGGCACAGAAAATCCAGATCATAAATCATGAACATAACCAAAGAACATGACAACACCAGAACAAAACGTAAATCCAAATCTTACATGCCCGCTTGAAACAAACATAAAAATGACTGAAATCTACTTCCAGTACCGCACCTACCCAAAGAAAGAACACCTGGAAAAAAGCCCAAACAGTCCAGCTTATTCGAGGTATATAAAAAATCCCACATTTTGTCTATGTCGATGAACTTTTGCGTAGGAGGTTGCAGGGAAGCGTCTAGGTAGCGTTGTTGGCGCAGGTCCAGCTGGCTTTGGAGGAGCTATCGTGGATCGCCTTGCCGGATACGTAGAGACCGAGACCGCACTGTTGCTTGTTAGTTTCCTGCTGAATGGGTTGATGGATAGAGGGCGTGGAACATACGATTGCACAGGCAATACCCAGAATAACCAGGTTAACGCAGGTAAGGAATATTTTGTTAGGAGAGGAGAACCATTGGCCCTTGTTCATGTACAGCCAGAAGATGGCGGGGAGACCGTCTGTTGTAGGTGATTAGTGTCATAGTCACATGATAGATAAGAATGATACTTACAACTGAACCAACTGCCGAAAAGAGAGCTGATAAGACTCAGCAACTGGTTGAAGACAGGAATAGACTCGGCGATGACCCAGGCAACAACCCACACGCCGAGCGCGATACCGACCCAGCTTCCGATGGCGAGGAAGCTGTTCTGGTGCATGTGAACCGTGCCACGGAAGATGCGGACGTAGATGTATTTACAAGCGACGTGACCGAAGACGACACCAGCAATAATGACCTGATTAGGATTAGCTATGAACTGACAAGTAATAGTTGATCAACATACAGTCGGAATGGCCAGACCATAGGCGACCTTCTTCATCAGGGGGCCGGCGGAGGAGAGAGCAGGAGAGGCAACGTCGGGGCCGGCGTAGCAGTAGATGACCATGGCGGTGACGACGTACATGCAGGTATCCAGAACCTGAAGCATGGCGAGCGACTTGGGGAAATCACGAGGGTCGCTCATCTCCGAGATGAAACCGAAAAATGCCACGTGAGCGACTGTCTAGGTTAGCGAATGAGCTTATAGATTCGGTTTGAAGAGTCGTACTGTAGGCAAAAACAATGTTGGTCACGGCCAAGAAGGCCTCGTTGAAGGAGACCTTGGTAGTGATATCGTTCCGGACGTCATCTGGGGCTTGAACACCGATGGAAACCATCGTGACAATGGTAGCAATCAGGATAGAAATGCAGGCTGTAACGATGTTAGTTGCAAATTGGGAACCATGCCAGATATATGGGGGTCCTACAGGCAAGCGACATCCAGTACACCTTGCCCACCGTGCGCGGAAGGGCACCGATGAAGCTGACCACCAAGCCCACGACTCCGAAAACAATGCTGCAAGTCCCGTGGTTCGTGATAGTGTTGAACAATACGGTGAAAGTGAGGATGTGACTCGACATGAGGAAGATCAAGAACAAAAGCTGGCCAATGCCGAAGATCTCCCGTCCGATAGGGCCGAGAAGCAGTTCACCTGCGTCTCCCATGCTGTGAATTTGGGGGTATCGCAGCTTGAACTGGCCAATGACATAGCCTGTATACCATGAGATGCCCGACATGCCGAGGAGAATGATAAGCGCTCTGCAGAGTGTCAATCAGCATGTAACTTCATTACGTAAGTACTGTGGGCACTCACGGGACAATTCCCAAGGTTGCGACTGCGGAGGGGAGAGACAGAATCCCCAGAGAAATATTCTCAGCAATCATGACTAGAATCAAACGGTTAGACAGCATGTCCGGGTCAGTGAAAAAAGACGAGGTTCTTACGCATTCCGCAGTGCCTATAAAATTGTCAAATCGCGGCTCGGCATCGAAGTAAAAAAAAAAACACACGGCGGGGATGGATGCTTACCACCATTTCATAACCCGGTACTGGACCTCTCCGCATTCCTCGTTGCCAAAGGGGTCATTGTCCGGGGGAGATTCGTTAGCTTTCTTCTCCAAATCCGTCGGGTCGTTGTAGACGTTGGGCTCATGGTGAATGGCCGTAGCGTCGAGTTCTTGGGGTGGGCTCATTGCGGGGAGAGCGGAAGAAAAAGAAAGTCAAATCAAAAATCAAAAACCAATTAGCTGAGAAATCGAGAGAAGATCGGAGCGTGAAGTCGTGAGGGAGTCAAAGGCAGGGATATAAGTGTCCGGCCGCGAGTGAAGATGGTTGACCGCGCGCAACTTGGAGGAGGAGCGAAGGCTAAATACTCCTAGTGATTTTTCCCATTTCTCCGTAGGGTTTTTTAGGTTTTGGCTGGTCCCGCGTAGTGGCAATGCCGCCGGCTGACTCAGCCCCGCCCCAGTCGCCCACAACTTATCGCAACCCTATCATTCATTACACATTCCATCTGCTAACGTCGCCTGCCCCCGTCCTGAGGATCCGTCTGCATTAGACCCGACTTTGTTCGCGTTTACCTTTTCCAGATCGTAGTCTTGGTCCGACGCTCCTTTCTGCCCTTTCACGGTCGTACGATCACCGTTGCAGTGCAGCTCCAGGTTGCAAAGACCCCCAACCGGGTGCGCATGTTCCTTGCCCCCGGATGACGTTTAAAGGAACATCTCCAGGTGGGATGGCCAGTGAGGTGTTTTCATAACGTACGTGGAATTTTATCGGTGGATTCGAAACCGTGGAGGGAGCAAATCCCCGCATGGCTCCTGTGGGTAATATTTTCTGGGGAAGGAAACAATCCCTCTTCGGGTACTGGCGGGCCCGACAGGGCCACGCCCACGCTCAGTAGTACTGCCAATTTCTCTAGTTCGGTGAGCAAGGGGTTATTCTCAATCTACCCTTTTCAGTATAGTTATATTGTATGCGGCCTCAGTGTATGGAGTATCTCGGCCTGCCCGATTACTGGGGTTTCGGTTACATGTGTTCGGAGGCGATACATCGTAGACGGTTCATCCCTTGCATTGTGTGGAATTTTGCAGTGATACTGAGCCGGACTTCGCGGCTCTCGGCAAAGGAGCCTAACGCCGAAGGAGATACGAAGGCAATCATCATTCAGCATCATCCATGATCGGTAATCCAGAATTGAGACGCGAGAATTGATGTACCGCAGGTCAGAAACAGAAGGCGGTGCTCCCGTACCGGTTCCAGGCCCACCAGGAGCCGGCGACCGGCCCGGGTCCGGTTGCTGCTCAACCATCGCCGGTGGAGCCTCCCCTCGCCGTGAATAATAGATATCTGCCCGTTTGGCCGGCCTCTTTCGTCGGTGAGAGCCACATCCGAAGCGAGCCGGACATGTCGCTACTGGAAATGTCACCCTGTCTTTTTCCTAAGAAACATCCTTTTTTCCGCTGCCCTGTCGTGGCTCTGCGCGAGACAGAATCGGCCTTCGCAAAACCCCCTCGGGAGCTACCCTTGCGCAGAGTAATTAAGCCGCGATGATTCTGCATCATACTGGCCAATCGTTTCCAAGCGTAGGCCGGCCATGATAACCCTATTACCAAAAGAGAACCGGAAATGGAGTCCTCGGTCTCAGTCCGCGTGGAGCCTGGGCCGGTCAGAGTGGAGGCCTCAGGTACCTCTGCGCATGCACGTGACCCTCTCCGCCAAACTTCTCCTTCAGGACAGCGAAGATGTCACGCATCTTTGCAGTGGTTCGAGGATAATTCCCAGATAACGCGAAGTGTGTTGTGTTCGACGTCCGAAGAATGAGGTCGTGTCGCACGCAGCGACCGTCAGAAGCTTGACGCGGACTAGCCTGACTAGGAGCGATCATACCCGATCAGGCAATATTTACGCGGGTGAGGCGCCTCGCTGCAGACTTGGCAACTTCGCCGATGCTAACGCTGACCACGGCATAACAAAATCTGTCTCTATCAGACATGCATTATGCATAGTAGGTAGTACTCCGTACTGGCACGGAGGATATGTATTATGTATGGAGTATCCTGCACGCTCACCTTATCTCTCGAACCCTTAAGATTTGGCCTCTTGGCCCTTCGTAACTCCACATGGCTCAGATTCCTCTAGATCCTCTTTGGGAATAGCCCAGGCTTGGCAGATCTGGTGTTGGATGAACTGCCCCTTGCGGTGTACAGCTCGGCACGAGTCATAAAAACTCATGATTCTGTCAAATCACAAATGTCAACTGAAGCAGTCTCAAAATAACGTTTGCTTCAATTAACTATGAGCCAGCACTTTAAAAACTACGGAGTACGTTGTTGCTCGAATTGCTCAATAAAGCTCGAATATTCTTACATTCGAAATCAACCGTAGCACATGGCGAGAATCAAAACAATCAAACACCTTACCAAGTCGCAATCCTCTCACCTATCAACCTATTCTCGCCAACAAGCGCCAACTCCCGACGGTCAATTTCCAATTACCAAACTCAGTCAAACAGACATACCCGGTCGAATGGCAGTCTTGGCTCCCAGCTCTGGATAACGGCTGGGAGTTAAAATGCTCTTGGCGCTAGACAGAAAAATTCTAGAAATCTGTCTAAGCGGCCGGTCCCACTACGAATCTAACTAGAGCGAAGAAAAATTTGTTTAGCGAGGTTGACAGGTCCAAAATTGAGCGCTTATCAGATGAAACCTTGGGTCTCGGAGCGAACGGTCTTCTGCATTCTAGATCGGAGTCAGACCTACGTTGTACTTGTTTGATGGGTTGGATCACTTTTGTGCTACGTTTGAATTATGCTATATTATGTAAACATTTGCATAATTTCGCTCGGCCGTTGGATTCCCCAGAAACTAAAGTGCAAGAGGATAAGGAGTAGTAATCTTAACACATATTGAGCTTTCGTACTCAGCGTTCTAGCGAAAGCATAGGCAAGTAAACAATGAACGGGACGGTTGTACATCAATAGATAGGAATAGTCCCTTTGCAGAGACTTGCTTACCTACCCTGCCCCGATTAAGTAGTACAAATTGCGCATCTCACTATTCATCTTTCTATTTTTCTATTCCGTCTTTCACCGCTACTGTCCCTATATAGTTTTTCTTAAAGATGCGAGAGATTTATCAGACCTTAGTATTCGATTCCCGTTCATCCCGCCTCACCACAAACGTGTATGCGTTTGGATGCCTGAGGCAAGCCGCCAAGCATTTCGCCACTTACTTGTCCTTCCTTCGGCACCTTTTAGATAGACAACACCGTGGAAGATCTCGCTTCTTCCTACATCAATCAGTCAATTCAGCATATATCAGAGTATCCTTCCGTTCATTCATTTCATCATCTCTAACCACTTCGGTGCAAGCCCCCGGCTGCAGAACTTCTATAAAACGTATTTGGAGCTTCATTCACAACTATATAAACTTACATTGCCATGAAATCAGCCGAAATCTTGCAACGGTTGGAGCTACGTAGATGATGACCACATAACCAGCTCGACATAGAATGATCTGATCATAAAGTTAATTATAGAAGAATGAAAGAGCATCCTCCAAGTGTTTTATGATTTCGAAAAAGCCCAATATTTGGTAGATTGGATCTGAGTGTGGCCCTAGGCGTCCAAGCTTTGACCATAAATACTTGTTTACATTGCGACTGAATGGGGGTAAAAGGGGGATAATAAAAGACAAAGAAAAGCCTCTGAGCAAGCAGGACTTATCATTGTTCGCCAGTAGCAGCCCTATCTCTATTCTGCTACAATCACAGGCTATAGAAACTGTTCCCACGACCTTATTCGCGTTCATATATGTATAGCATGGCTTGAGCTCTCAGTACACCGTCATATCAAGCTTGCTTGGGGAAAAACGCAATAGATCTATTAGAGCCTCTGGCCTTGAGAAAGAAATCTGGCACTGCCGTAAGGTGGTTCTTTGTGGAGGGAACAAATTGGTTATGTATGAGATTGCGAACGAAACCATTAATCTGTTCAGAACGCGCTCTATAAAAGATAGCAGGTTTTGTTGAAGCCAGTGTCCCATTAGTCAACGGAGCAAGATTATTAAATGACTATTCCCCAATGGCATATTAAGCACCATTGGATTTGCCCTCAACTATGGGAGCCACGTCTTTGAGCACGTTGAGATTTTTCTTTGCACAGAAATTGCTTTGTTGGAATTGTCGAAAAAGTCTTGAAGAGAGACCCAGTGACAAGCATGGAGCTTGAGAGAGCCGATGATGCTTAATAGCATCCAAATTTGCTGGTTCTGCCGATGATAAACGATGGTTTGTGTCAAGCGTCATTCTCTCCGTAGTGGACAGTGGCAAGTAGTTCCTCGGTTATCATAGGCCTCTTGGTTCCATATTGCAGGCAAACTAGCCGTAGGAAGACATTGAATAGATTAAGGAGAATTCTTCGTAATATAGGATGTTGGGTTTGGACTTCCTAGGAAAAGGGGATGCATGAGGATAAGTGATGTATTGCAGGGGATATCTACTCTCGCGCTAAGCTCTGTCGGTTAAAATATCGCGCTAGAATTTACGCTTAAGAGAGCTACAAACGCTTGTGTCAAGGTGGGTAGAGCATATTAAGCAATTGAAATGGTTTAGTGCCGTAATTTTGGCTTTTGCATTGGAGTCCAGTTTCATTAAGGAGCCTGGCGTTGAATTTGCGCCGAACAGAATAGGGAGTATCGTGTATTGGTCATTTGACTAGTTAGTCTTACATGGAAAATAATTAAGTTAAGAATCATTGTATGATGATCATGGCTAGGGGTCACTAGCTAATAGTATTTGATTAAATGTGTAGGCTTTCTTCTTCCAGACAGTACCAAGAAAGAACCAAATACTGCTGCACAGTTGTAAACCTTGAAGTCGACGGGTCAACGAGAACCTTCGCGCACTTATTTTTCACTTCTGCATGGTTAAATTGTGCTTCGATCCACCGGATGTAATGTGCCTGCGAAGCCTGACATGCACCATCATGATCGAGACCTGGGTAAAGCAATAGCTCCGCCGCCAAATCTGGATGGTTGGTGCAGGTTTGGTTAAAAGACCTCTCAGATAATACCATAGGGGTGAGCACATCCAGATCACCCTGAACAACGAGCATAGGCGCAGCTAGCTCCTGGGCTCCAGCACCGCTGTATCGCTAGCTCCAATCCACCACGGTCGGATGGTCAACCCAGATCGAGTTTTTGATTACTTGGCTGTAGGTCAAATCCGAAAGAAACGTCGACCCTGTGCGCAGGCATCCCTGGTCGGCAAGGGCAATGCGGCCGATCACGGTCTCGCTAAGGTAGTCTCCGATTCTGATAATTGGAAACAACCGCGCCAAGGACTGAAGCATATAGAGCGTGACAGTGTTTCTGCGACTGTTTTTCATTTCCCTCCGTGCAGGAGTGTTGTACTATTTAAAAAGAGACAGCGGGTTCACGGCCGGTGCTATCGAGACCGCCCCGATGAATCTACCTGTCGGGTCGGTCTTCTCGCGTTCGTTAGTCCGCCAGGCGGATAGGCCGAGATGCAAGACTAATATGATAGCTCTCGTAGGCGGAAAGGAGATTCGATCAGATTCACTGATAATTCTTGGTCACCATGATGTAGGGATGAACTGTGTCACAATGGATGGTTGATTATCTTGGTTTTCAAGACTGATTCTGATGGACCTAAATAATAATATCTATGTCTCATTTGTCGAATTAATTAAATGAAGTTGAATTCCAGTCTGTTCACCTAACTCGCTGAGCTGGCTCGTCAACACTGGGCACTAGCCAATGGGCTCATCCACCGGGGTACTTATTACCAGATAAATGTGACGAAGTTGCGGCGTGTGGACCTTCCAATCCTTCAGCCACAAGTGAAGCACGTCTAGAATAGTCGAATGAGTCCACTCCCATACAGGCGAATATTGTGCAGTCTCAAGTCGTCGGTAAGCACCAGTGACTCAATGTTGCTTGGGATCACATCGTGCAATCGCTTTGTTGTGTCTGGAACGAAGCCCACCAGCAGCGGCCACGGAATTTCAAGTCTCCTAAGCATCTCAAATTTGACCATTTGATGCAAGGAACCAACAATATTCACGGCAGGATAAGAGAAAGCGACACCACAACGAGATGCATGGGCTGAGACGGTCAATTCCATCAGCGTATCTCTAACATGCGATATCGCAGCGGTAAATCGGTCAAGATCAAGGACTTCTGTAAGAAACGATCTCTAGTCGCCGGTTTAGATGTCCCAATGCCAGCGAAGAGTCTCGAGATTCTTGGTGACAGCGAGTAGCTCACCAAGATATACTCCCTGATCACAGGTTAGGTCAAGAGACTTGAAGTTTGATGGGACAGGTGGATGCGCCGCAGGCCACGTGAATGAAACGGGATTCTCAATCGAGGCTGAAATCTTTTGCAGACTTGGTAGGTAGAAGAACGGCAAGATGTCTGCTGCATTCATTACTGTTTCATCTGGTTCTCTGTCTGCGCGGTCTGCAAGGAGGAAATATACATCTCGAAGATGCTGGAAGTCGGGAAGCTGATAATTTACATGTTCGCAGATGGCTGACCGCAGAAGCATGCCAAGAAGTGCACTTTGTCGAGTAAAGTTATCCAGATATAGGTACCTCAGATTAGGAACTTGCGTCAACAGGAAAGCAACAAAGGCATCTACTGTGCCTTGGCGCAATTCATGTATCCACAAGTCGCCGTAGGGGACACCGGTACCCTGAATGAATGTAATTGATTTGTTCAGTTCAATATCAGGAATAGTGAGTTTAGAGGTTGTACTTCTAATAGTCTGTAGTGAAAGGCATGGCTATCTAGATGGACATTTCTGTCATAAGAATACGAAATTCAACGGGGGATAGTGACTGGAACACCAAGTGCAAGATCTCCGTCGGGCAGGTATTCAAACCAGATGCCGCTCGATGTTCATCACATACCGATTCCATTTCTGGCGACTGAGTCGATGCTTGTTCGTCGCGCTTTCGTGGGTATGCCTATGTATGCGAAAAGAACAGTGGACTGATATGTAAAAGCTGTTGATAAGATGCAACGTGTGCGTGTTCTTTAGAGGTGGATCGTAGGGTCCCTATATAGGCCCTGCATACAGGAGGTCTCCGCTACAATCAGCGGTTAGCTACATACAATATTGTAAGCAAGCGGAGGTGCTTGAGCAGCCTCTCAACAAAAGCTACTTCGTAAAAAAGAGCCAAAGGCGTGGAATGTATTTTCAAGAATGAAGAAAGCTTAGCAACAAGCGGAAAGCGATGTAAAGGGTATTGCTGTTCTCTCCTGTAGAGGTACTGGGACCAAATGGGCAACATGGTGAAGGGCCCATCGATCGGACTTTTCTACAATGAAATGAGATATAGCCCTCTGTTCTATTCCCACTGGCGACAAAAGTAGTCAAATATACCTACCACGTTGCTTTCATTTCTCAAACCTTTCCCCCCTGGACCTACCTGGTCTTCTGCTTTTCGCTGTTTCCCTCTCTCTGTCGTCTTCGAACGGAAAACCCACGATATTTACTGCTCACGCGGACTTTCAGGTTTTCACCCTCGTTTTCAAGAGCTGGAACGGAGTGACGATTGGGTAAAATAATATTTGCCCTAGCTAGGGACTTGTAGAAGTTGAGAGCAAAAACGAAAAATTAATGGACGACAGCTGCAGGATTCGAACCTGCGCACTCGAGAGTACGCGCTGGCTATGAACAGAAATGTTAAATAGCAGGCGCGCGCCTTAACCACTCGGCCAAACTGTCCACTTGCTATTGATAGCTTGGAAGAAAGATTTAATACTAGACTGCGTTTTTGAAATCATCATGGAGGAAACTTGAAATTCAAGTCTGTCTAGATATCAAATTTCCATGTTTCTGTGGGCTGTAGGCGGTATAGGAAGGTGTCCGAGGTTGCAAGCTGCCAAGAAATTTGCCAGTGTCCTCGCCCCCCATAACCATCTCACGTGGACAATTAATACGAAGGACTCTTTCTTTCCTGTACAGCAACACTTGATCATTTTAGTAGCCTAGCTTGATGAAACTCCGTATATGCTTTTTTCTATCGATATAATATGGGATAGGCCTGAGAATTATACCATGATTAGGGCTATTGACGGTGCTGATTGATGATATGGGAAAACAGTGCCGACATCGTATCGTTAACAGCTCTAATTATGATCACTGATTAGTACATCCAAGAGGGTAGATAGGCTGTCACGAAAAGGGCCACAGTTGATCTAATGTCAGCAACTTCCCCAAGCCCCTCCGTTCGATGTCGCAGTATTCCTCCCTCTAGATAAGGTCAACTGCCCCCCTACAGCAGTCTATGACTTGAAATTCTGATAACCTAATTTAGATGCTCTAGTTGCATTGTTAAAAACTCTGGTAGTGGCTGGAGTATACATGCATCTGTTTAAGAGGCCGCCTGGCCCTATATCGTATCCTTTCCTTCGGATGCACCCAGCCACCTAGCCACTTAATCAATGTAAATAGTGTCCAAGGAGGTCAAGTATACATTTGTAGATAACTTCGGGCGATCCTGTGTTTGTTTACTCAATTCACCGTATCGCAACCATTTATATTTTGTTGGCCCAAATTTATGTTCATTTTTACCGAATTCAATGTAATTATATTGAACTGTTGAAATCATTGACTTCTTTTACAAAGCCCTGTCTTTACCTAGATCTACATAACCCGACAAAAAGTAATTGAGGCGCTCGGCTAATCAAACTGGCAGCATGTATATCGGCCAGGCGTTGACCGTATGTCTATAATGAATAGTAAACCATTATACCGTTGTAGAAGCAGTTAATCCTTTTTTGCAAATTCCCAAGTATTGTAGCTCAATTGAAAGAAAATACTAGGTAGAAAGAAATAAAATGAAATGCAAACTAGCTGGGGGGTGCAACAACACTCGCATAGGCCTTCCGTGTCTTAATTCTTTTGAACTGCGCTTATACGAAGCAAGGCACTTTCAATTATCTCCACCAATAATTCTTCGAAGGATATGCCGTTCGCCTCAGCACTTGCAGGCAACGGGGAAAGGCCGGGAAGCAGACCCGCGATTGGGTTCACCTGTCAGACAATGAGCCCACGCTGGCACATAAGATCGTGAAATCTCTCACCTCTAATACAAACGGGGTCGAATCCGCTTTGCACGAATCAAACCGAATATCCACTCTCCCTGCATCCCTGCAGTCGAGCACAGCCCAAGTTTCGAGGGCAAGAAGGCAAGCAGCGTGTATTTGAGGATCTGTTGTTTCTTGGATATTGTAGTCTTTTATCTTCAACTGGAAATCTCGACTAGACTTGCTTTGCCAGCTCGCAAAGTTCTGCGTGTCCGGGTCGCTATTCTCGTGATCGGAAGAGGACGACTCTTGCCATACGTGCTCTCTAACACCAATGACACGGCTGAGTGGACCCGTCCCCAGGAGGCTGACTGTGAACTCGCGCCCGGCGAGAAATGACTCGACCAGAATCTCATGGTCGGGAAAACGGAAAGCCAGCTTTTTGACAGCCGTTCTCAATTCTGCGGGACTGTCGACTTTGCTGAACGAATCGACTCCTTTGGATGACCCTTCTGTGGCTAGCTTGACAAACAAAGGAAAGGTTAAGGACCCTGAATCTAGTATACAATCACTAATATTGTGCTTGCTGGTAGAGATGACGGTGAATGGCGCGCTCGGAATGTGATGATGATCTAGTACGATCTATTTGCGCGAAAAATTTGGCCCAATATTAGTCCGCAAAAGGTAACATAGATTCGGACACCGTACCTTGGTGATCGATTTATTTTGACACAAGGCAATTGTCGCAGCATCGGCAAAAGTGTAAGGAATTTCATAGGCCTCCAGGAGAGCTGGGACCTGGGCTTCTCTCGCGGATCCAAAGAATCCTTGTGCAATGTTGAATACGAGATCCCAATCTCTCTCTCCACTGTTTGCTAAATGCTGGACGAGCGATCTGATCCCTCGGACCAAAACGACGTGGTGACCGAGCTTCTTCAGCGTGGTGACAATGCCTTCTACCTCTCCATCGTGGGTGAGCGCTGCGCAGTCCTCTTGCGAGAATCCGTCCTGCAAGTAGCTTGACCGTTGCTCAGAGACAACCGCTATCGTGAGACGAGGCATAGCTTCGGACAAATGACGCGCAGTTGATGGACTTATGGGAGATATGGGGAAATATTCACCAGACGAGGCTGAACGAATGAGAGTTGCGTCGTAAGTACTATTTTCTGTTAGCCAGTAGAGCGAAACAGCTATTATCATTTGTTTGTTAAATATATCATCGCGTTATTCTAACTTTCCTCATGGTAACAGTGAATACCGAACGGGAAACGCTAAGTTCCACTGCATCACAATGACATAAGATTTCAATGCGAGTTGCTGCTTGTTGGCAGGCTCAGTGGCCTGTGGCTTCCGGGTTGAGCTGCCGAAACGACGATGACATGTTATGTGTACCATAGATATTCCACCTGTTCGGTGAGGTATTGGGCTGGGGTTACTGGAGAGTCTTTGCTGATGATAGGCCGTGCCGAGCTGACGTGGACCCAGCCTATCAGAACCCTAGGTATGAAGAGAAGGGACCTTGCTTTTTCATGTATTGCTGGGATAGACGATTCCGAAGGGTTGGGGACCCTGGACAATTACTTTTCGTATCTCTTTCGATCAACGTCGATATAGTCAATTGTGTTTTCACCGGGTCCTATCATCAGTTTTAAACTGCACTATTAGAAAGAAATGCCAAATGTAACCACGCCTAAGAGGATAAATGTCTGCTCGATAGTCATCGAGGTTCCTAGGGTTCCCGACTTTCCGTAGGATTAATGGGTCGATCTGACCGACGATCGCGGGCAATGTTGATCAGGATCCAGTGATCATCCTTGGCTCAACCTGAAATAATCTAGCTTCAATAGCTTAAATCATTCATTTTGATCCTCTTTATAAAAAATTCTGATAAATTAAGGGCAAAGTCCCGACTCATCATGACAATGTAGGTAGCTTACATGCGAGTTTGTAAAATTAAGATCACGAAAATTTCGAAGGCACACCGAATACTAATAACATTAGTTTGCGATTTCTATTTTTAAATGTCAATTCTTTCTAGGGGCTTAGTTAGTGGCGAATTAAGCAAAGCTCTGTGGGTTTTACAATTTATCAGTTTGCTTATCCTCGTAGGTGAGACAAAGTGGCCTTGGCAAAAGAAGAAGCGAAAATATTTGGTGAACTTGATGCTAAGTCAACCGAACAACGAGGAGCTAGTAAAGGCCGTCCGTGAGAAAAGAAAAAGAAGGATCGTAGTCTAGTAACCATGTACTTTTGTGAAATAGCTAGGCTCCCCTCCGGAGTTCCCATCTTTTTTTTTCTTTCCTTTTTTTTTTTTTTTTCAACTTCGTTCCTTCTTTTTTTGGCAATCAACGCTAATGTCATCTGTTACTAGTGTTCGCATACCCCAGGGCACCGAGTTGGTTTCCGCTCGGCTTCAAAATCGTGACCTGCCCCAAATACTTGGATTCCTAGGCTTCTTAACAATTATCCTGACAGCCCTTGTGTTTGGTTTGACAATTCTGTCGGTGAGTAAACGCTAGTACTAGAGACTATTTCTATTCAAACTCATCAAAGGTAGGTTGACTATACCTGCTTCCATGTTGCTGCCACTCTGGCTGCAGTCGAAAATTCCAACCCGACTACCGAAGTGTGTCTCAATAGGGAAGACTCTAACGATTTTTTCGAGACTGATGATACGGATGCCAATACCACATTAAGATCTAAGCCTATCACTAACGGGTTGGCCTCGACCATTAAGCACCTACGTGCCCGGGGTGGCATCTGGTCGTGTTTCCGTGGATTCCGTATGTATCTAGCCTTCTCAGGGTTCGATATGGGCGTCGGTCTTTTCATTCTATTTATCATTCCTATTCCGACTCCTACCTACTCTTTACTCGGAGGAACTTTTAGAGGGTTCGTCGCTAGCATGTCCTTAGCCACCTGGCAGATGGCTTGGGTACATCTTGTCATAGCCGACAAATCACCTAGGAGCAGTTTCCGGCGAATGCTTGGTCTTCGAAATTGGCCCAAGATTGCGCCTGCGGCGGCTTTATACAATTTCTTCATGTTTGTGACTTTCTCTCTGCCTGGGGCGTTGCGAACGTTACCAGTCCACGACTCGAAGGGGATTTCCGCTCTCTAGCCCCTATCATATGTATGATAATACTCACCCTATTGATTTCAAACCCCGCTAAGGCAATATTCATCCGAGTGGCTGCCTCTATGCTGCCCGAGGAGGACGACCCGATGGTACCCTTCGACCGCCGGTTTGGAGGCAAGGCGAAGCCCGACACGATAGGTGGCAGCGGCACGCTCGGTCTTAAGGATGCCTGGACAACCTTTGAATGGCATTCTCGCATTCGCTACGCTAAGATCGTTCTTAAAGCGAGTGCAATCGAGCTTGCACTTGTCATTGTTGGGCTCCTTCTGATAATCGGCGAGATGATGTTGGTGATTCCTAGGAGCAAATATTCTTCCCATTCCTAGTTATCTCTAAATCTGGGAATTGGATCTAGATAATTTTGAGACGTCTCCGATGTTTTGTTGCACACTCGAAGTCTGTTCACCAGAATAGACATGTTTTCTATAATGCTGTGATTTATTCTAGTCCACATCAGTATTGGGCCGTCAGAAATCCGCCAAAAAAAGCTATTGCTCATTGGCAATAGATCGATAACCATGCCATTGAGATATTAATTTATGCAACAAATTGTTGGAACATTTTCTAGCTGCCTACATTTCCAAAGAGTCATGAAAAGACTCAGGCAAAAGAAATTTGCGGACCGTCGGTTCAACTATTCCAACTTGAGTTAAACTTAAGATAAACTTACTCTACAGTACTCTATTCCATACTTTCTACCTTCAGTTACGTCTCTTTATATTCCTTCATATTTCGTTACTCAACATTAGCCCCTATACATGTACACTCGAAATGCTGATCTTTGCAAACAATTAGTGTAAATAATTTCTCACCCTGAGCAGCTTATCTTTGAATCTATCGGTTGTTTGCATTAACCCAACAATCAACCAATTATGATCTACATCAGAACTGTATGTATGAATAAAGGAAGGGAGGAAACTTTTGATACCCATCTGCCAATAACATATCTGCTTTGCGCCGAGTATACCTCGACATCTACGTTATTACTGTTATCTTTAATTTAGGCTTTTTAATAGTATTCAAATAGCATCAGGAAGTGATAGGACAAGGAAGGAGGTACCTATAATAGCCATTATCTCGCGCAAACCTCGATTACGAGATGCGAAGATAACGGCTTGGGGCTGTTTCAGCCAGAAGATATGTCGGAACACCTCCCGAGAAGTAGTCATTAATTCTACAGAATCCTCTGCTTTGTACCCCGCATAATTTACACGGGGTTTCGCACTCTAATTCCGGACAGAGGCGGGGTGACTCGAAAGACTACGAATATCATGATCGAAGATTCATATCGGCTTTGGAACCTGGTATAACCTCGGGCAATTTACTCTGGCTAAGTCCCTATTATACTCTTTCAGGATTGCCCATATGCGGGGAAACAAGGCTTAGGAGGACGCATCCTGGGGTAAGATCTAAGCCGTGGATCTGCATACACTCCGCGTACCCCGTATGCGGGGTATTGCACATGTATACGACGACGGAAGCAAAATCCTGCTGGCTATTCTTTCCATTAAGGTCTAGCCAGATCCTGTTTGTTGATCAGCGTCTAACCGTCGAGAATTCAATGGCGGAAGTCCAACGAGAGTAATTATCTCTCTTGGTGAAAAATGCCGCATATTCTTGGCCCAAGAAACTTTCCGAACGACCTTACAATGTGTTCTCTCTGGATTTAATGACCCCGAAAACAAGGATTCTAGCAGGGCTCTGTCAGCAATCATACCCGGAGGATTTCGTAACTCGGCTGACTCGACCCTGAGACGAAATCATGTTAGCACCACTGAATGACGATGCAAATTAGCTCCGTGAATACAACTGTCCTTCCCATGACTATTCAAAGATCAAACCATCGGGATCCCAACCGAGCATCATCCTCCCTGTGATGCAGACCTATCCGAGGTTAACTGCTTAGACAACAAGATGGCATTAGGCCGCGTCTCGAAAAAGCCCTCTCGAAGCCAAGCACATACCCCTATCATGCGCTAGGGGCGACTCTTGGCTCTTATTTCCGGAGTTTTAGATAGTATCCTAGATACCACGTAAACTAGAGAATTGAACTGAAAAGAAGAAATACGAATAGCTTATGATAGGATGGTGTCCTCCTTGAGATATGACTTTCGAAGCGGATTGGTCCAGAATTTCCTTCGGCTTATGCTCTGAATTCAGCGATTGCCCCTTCTTTCTTAATGGACACTCCTCTTTTCCAAGACATATTTCCAAAGAAAAGAGCGCTAGTGATACGGGATACAAGTTTAAATTCGGGAGCGCTCCCGGTGGTATCGAGTGATTTGCGGGGAAGGACACATTGCAAGTTGCAATGCGAAGATTCATCCGATTCTTCAGTCGGCAGGAATCTCACCTCGTACAACTATGTGAGTTGAAACAATAGCCAATCGTAGTCTATTGTGTAAGAATGCCACGGTCATTCAAGTGCACTTTGTTGCAAATGTCTAACAGGAGTAAGCTAAAGGAGTCACTAGCCGGAATTTGATTTAAAATCTGAATAGGAGCCTCGGTATGTGGTTGTATATGTAAAGTCAATGCAGTGTACAACAAATAGGCGCAGAATTACAACCTACATAGTTATAGGGATAGAAATTTACTTCTAATCATAGTAAGCGGTATCGCTGATAGTGATATCGACCCAAAAGAGCGCAATGTCTTGACTATAGAAGACTCTTAGTTAAGTCTAAGATCCAGTAACCACGAAGGCGAGTCTCCAGTCGTCTTCCCGGTACACGCTGCATCTATACACATCTCAAAGTTACCAAAAGCAAACTTCCTACCCATCAAACCGGGTCCGTAATGAATATACTTGCCCGAGTTAATCATGATTGTTTGAGTATTCTTCGGGATGACGGGCTCCGCGATGGAACACCAGCAAGTGTCCTGGAGGAACTGAACTCCGAATTTCTCAAGCTCCTCGACATAGCCCGCCTGCAAGGCAAGACTATACTGAGAACGACCACAGGTGACAATCACAGCCACGTTATCCTTTTTAGTTCTTCCCCGGCATAGCTTCGCTACCTCCTTGATCTCCCGGCAGGAGAAGTGTGGATTACCAAATGAGATAAGATCCATTTCCCGGCGCTCGGAGCCATAATTGAACTCATCCCAGATATTGTAAAGATCTTTCCGATCTACAACGACAGATTGGGGAGTTCTACCCTCGGGACATGCAGCCTCAAGGGTGGGAGCCTCCGGAGTCAGGCCGACTATATGAAACATGGGTGTGCTAGAAGAGGTCGCAAATGCCGCTGAGAATGCGTTGAGGTCGTCACTGCTAGGCTTCAGATGCTCTAATCCAGTAATCACCGGAATGCGAGCTGAGGTGATTGCGCCGAGAGCGTAGCCTAGGATTGGCCAGTATGAATCGTCGACTCTTCTAGGTGGCGTCACTTTGAGCCAGAGAGATGCGAAGCGATTATCTTCTAAATAGGCCCCTGCTTTTGGTGCGCGGCCCGTCAAGGTAATCAAAGCTTCCAACATATTCGGGTTCTTCAGGGTTCTCGCGCCAAGAACACTGTTGGCATAGATGATGGCATTCGCCTCTCCCCAGGCAATTCGATCGCCTAGCTTAGGGGCAGTCTCGAGTAGATAGGGAGCGCAAGTAAATGAAACCTTACCGCCCATATCGACAAAGGCATTGGCCAGCTCATCACAGGTTGAGCCAAACTCCGAGTTGACCCCAAGAGCCTGCCACCGCTTCTGGTCAACATTCAAAGAGTTGATAGTAGTAGGAACCTGGAATTTGCCGCCCCAGTCCCGAAGCTTCTGTCCAAAGGCAACAGAACCGGGGCTGTACCAGGCTCCATCCACATGAGCTTGACTAATATCCATCAACTCTCGAGCGCCCATCATATCCGCCATTCGAATGATGATTTTGAGTGAGATCCGAGCCACTTCACCGCTAGTCCCGTTTAAGATCGCTCGATCGGTATCGGTAAGCTGGATATCGAAGGCATTCAGGTCCACGGCAGGCTTCGTGGCTCCACTCAAAGTATTGGCCTCCAGAAGGGTATCCGAGACTAGGCCATCCTGTATGTGAACAACCTTCCCATCCCATTCCAGCACTTGACGGAAGTCCTCGGGGTTCAGCGTGATCACGGCCGCCGTCTGTTCAAATAGTTTCTCAGCAACCATCACTCCTAGAGTGATGATCTCTTCGCGGCGCTCGAAAATCAATGCCTTGGGTCCTAACTCATTGAGAATCAGCTCCATCATAACGACGCTACCGCCACACGACCCCCTTCCTCCAGGTATTGCGAGGACGGTAAACTGAGCTCGAGATCCGCTGCCAATAATGTGGCCGAGGCGGCACCGGTGGCATAGGGTGTACCCCGAAAGGAACGCTGTTTTGACATCGTCATGTTCAAAATGCCAGACGAAGCTTGTGTATCTCAGAGTTATCGTGAGAGAACAATGAGTTGTGGTATTGAGCCAAGGCAATACACGCTCAAAGTTGGGGGTAGTTCTGGCAGGAAAGCGTGTATGTCTTGGACAAGTCAAAAATCAGTTAAGCTGCCGCGGGTTTCAGGGAATTCGCAGGTGTTTGCGAAGAGAAGTAGGTAAACAGTCCCGAGTAACTACTCACTAACGCAAAATAAGAAAATGACACTCAGCACCAACCACAAGTTAGTGATATGTCAACATCTCCGCTCCAAGAGGGGATCTCGGGTGTTGAAGCCGACGTGAGTGATATGAAGCCCGTCGCATGAGGACTAGTCACCCCCTCGCAAATCGCCGATTTATCTCGGACTAGTTTCCGATTATCATCTGACATATATTCACCCGAGTGTCATCCGCAATTCGCAGGGATTTAAGAGAAATGTCACCTACTTCCGATCCCAGCAAGCCCAACGATCATTTCCATGTTAGCTGTAGGCTGTTTAAACCTCTCTCTTTCAAAGGACTATAAGGTTTCAGGACCACTACAATGATATTATCAATTTATGAAATTCTTTGGCACGTTCAATTAGGTTTTCAAGTAACATCCACAAATCTTACTTGCACCATGTCTAAGCCACCAGAGCTCAAGATCAAACGAATCGATGTTTTCCAACTCGACATGCCGTATTCAGGAGGAATATACTATCTCTCTGTTGGGCGAGAATATCCCAGTTTTGGCGGTACCTTTGTTCGGATCACCGCTGAAGATGGAATCGAGGGCTGGGGTGAAAGTACTCCTTTCGGCTCTAACTTCATCGCTTCCCATGCGCTCAGTGTTCGAGTGGGAATTGCAGAAATTGCCCCAAAGTTGATCGGGCAGGACCCGCGGGGAGTCAATCGTATCAATGATATAATGGACGACACACTCCTTGGTCATGAGCATGCAAAGGCAGCACTAGATATTGCATGCTGGGACATCTTCGGCAAATGGACAAATCTTCCTGTTTGTGAACTCCTCGGGGGTCGCACAGATACGAAGCTACCAATTATCACCTCTCTTCCAGTTCGCGAGCCGGGAGGAATGCTAGCTCTTGTTGATGAGTATCGAGCAAAGGGCTCCAGGGGTTTTTCTGTCAAGATCAGTGGAGACCCCGTCATTGATGCAGCCAGCATTACGGAAGCTCTCAAGGACAAGAAGCCAGACGAGTGGTTTGTTGTCGACGCCAATGGCGGACTGACTGTTGAAGGTACTCTGAGGATGTTAAGGCTGTTACCTGAGGGGCTCGACTTTTCCTTTGAGGCTCCCTGCCGACCGTGGCGAGAATGTCTCTCCCTACGACGTAGAACCAATGTCCCAATTATCCATGATGAACTCACGCTTTTCTATGGTGCAAATGATTGCCGGTAATACTGGGGAAGGAATCAACTTGAAGGTTCAAATGTTTGGTGGCTTAACCAAGGCCCGTCGTGTCCGAGATCTCTGTTTGGCTGCTGGGTATATCATCAGCGTGCAAGAAACATGCGGTTCGGATATTGGATTCGCACCCCTGGTTCATTTGAGTCAAACTATCCCAGAGCATTCTTTACGCTGTGTCCTTGCGAGTCGCCACATGCTTACTGTTAAAACGGCGGATGCTGCGTTCGATATTATCGACGGTTATGTGGTTGCGCCTACCGTGCCTGGATTGGGAATCACGCCGCGGTTGGACGTGCTTGGCGACCCAGTTGCGAGCTACTTTTAGTTTCTCGGTTCTAGGTAATGGACTGTTTTTTCGCACTCGAGATGGGGTTCTTCCCTGGATTTCAAACGTACAGTTCGAGCGGTTCCTTTAAAATCTTTCTAAGTTAAAACATTGTCCAGGAGTGGCGATGGTAAGGTTGGGGAACACCCTGTATTCAATTGAGGGACAGAATAACTCGTTTAAGAGAGAGAAGTAAATACAGTATAAATTCGGGCTCCTCGACCTCAATTCCGATGGGCAAGACCTATGTATGTACCATGCCGATCATATCTTTCCCTAGAGACGGAGCACAATCTTTCCGATTTGTTTACCTTGCCAGACATATTCGACAGCCTCTTCGGCCTGCTCAAACGGGAATACCTTGTCAATAAGGTCATTGAGTGGCGTCTGATCCGCCGATAGAGCGGCACAGAAGTCCTCCATATCATATCTCGAACCCGCGTTGATGCCCCTATAGTTCGCGTCAGACTGCTGTTCTGTTGCTAAGCATGGAGTATCGTTGCTCTCACCTGAGGTTGATTCTCCGATCAATAATAGTCGGAACCAGCTCCCGCAGGTCATTGGAGTCCTGCTTGGAAAGGTATCCGACCTGACTGACCACGCCGCCACGTCGAGTGCATTTCAGGCTCCTGACCAAGGAGCCAGTTCCTCCGTTTTCAACAACTATATCCACACCAACGCCACCGGTGAGCTTCAACGCTTCCTGGTCCCAGTCTGGGGTCTGAGCGTAGTTTATGGTCAGAATTGGCGGGTTTGAATATTTCTCCTTCATTTGCTGCAGCTTCTTGTCGCTTGACGAGGTCAGGATCACTCGAAGACCCGCAGCCCTTGCAAGCTTGAGCGCAAACATGCTCACACCTCCAGTACCTAGCCCGCTTGTAAGCCATGATTTCTATCTCAGGGTCCGGGGATACGTACCTTGAATCAACACAGTCTGCCCAATGCTCATGCCCTTCAAGGCCGACCACGCGGTAACTCCAGCGCAAGGGATTGTGGCAGCATCAACCCAGTCAAGGTACTCCGGAAGTTTGCACAGAACATTCTCATCAAAGATGATATAGTCCGCCATCACCCCGTCCTCATCTGCTGCGAGCCACGACCTCTTCACCTCGCGCCCTGAGATGTTTTCCGTGTCAGTGATGGGACCGGCCCTATCACCAACCGCAAAGCCCTTCACCTTGTCACCGACAGCGATAATCTCGCCTGCGGCGTCATTACACAGGATTCCATTCGGTACCACAGGCCACGGGTTTCCTCCATTCGCGATGTTGGCGTCACGATAGTTGAGTGCGACCGCATGAACTTTAAGCAAGACTGCGGTCGGAGCCAGGGGCAGCGAGAGGGCTTCGCGCACAAACTTTAGCTTGGGTGTCCCTGGAGTATAATCGTCGGTCCGCCGAAACGCGCGACGCTCAGTAACATTAGAGGTAGACATATTTGCTTATTTAAAATGAGACCTTGAAAAGAAATTGATATTTAAAAGGATTTGAAGCAATTACCAATAGTTTTTATACCGGACGCCCTATAGATATTGTTTATTAATCCTCGACGTCGTGGCACTAACAGACGATCAGAACCGACGGTATCCACACCTACCCCTCCATGAGGCTCTCATTCTTTTTACTGAAACTGGAGTAGCGGCATATAAGTTGTCTCATTTGTTGCAACGAGCTCGCAACTCTTTCCAGCTTATATGTTACACCCAAGAGCGGTAACCAGCGGGAAAAGGCCCGATCGTTTGCCCTCTACGAGACCCGACCGCACTAAACCTCAGCATGAAGCGATCACAGGCAGCTCTCGGAACTCGTCCCGATCAGCCAACGATTGACTCTACGGGTCCCCGCATCCCGCAAATCGATCTAGAGGGGATTGCCTCGCTAGAAACTCCTACAATCGTTCGCCCAAACGATATCTCCCGTCCCAGTCGAAATGCTCAACCGTCCTTTAATGTACAAATGACTAAGTCTGTTTGAAAGGGAAGGTGTATCTAAAGAAGAGCAATCGAGAGCTCCACACGATGAATTCTACATACCTATCTGGGCTTATCGATGTAGGGCTGGAGAACCATAGAAAGCTAATACACCTCGGTCAGTAGATTATTCTTAGTTAATTGCTGCTGATGAATCAACTCGTCCTCTCGATATCTAGGAAAAGCAATCTGTTCTCCCACAGACCAGGTTTATTAACACCGGGAAACGGTAGCCTGCTTGGTTCCTGTTCATTGAGCTTTTATTATTCAATTTTACAATATACGCACCTAGGTGAAGGTCGGCCCTAGATTTTTAGATAATAATCCTACCCTTGTGGGCCAATTAGTATATAAGAACTGTTTCAGAAATAGGACATTGTATCCTTGTTAAAGGAAAGAAGTCTAAATATCGTTTCAGGAAAGGCTTTTGATCATAGCTTGTCAGCGAGAACCATTTAACGAAGGGGAAAGAATTCACTATTTTGTATTAATCAAAGACCGGGATATGTCTATGAAAGATGAGAAACCAATGACTCTAGTAAGGAGAATATGTCTTATTGCGCACCAAATTAAAATATAAAGTGCGTTTGTTTGAGGGCTTCACGGGTCTCATGCGTAATATCTGGTTACCCCTTAATTTATATTCTGACCCCTATCATATTTCTAAATATCTAGTTTCATAGACATAAACTGATGGTGAAGGATCGCTAGTAACTTAGGTGCCCGAGGAAGTGGCTCGGAGTCTACTACCTCCTTCACGATCATTGCTTGCTGCTCCGTCAAAGTAGCCAAATCGTACATTTCTTTGATATCGTCGCGCCTCAAGCAAACCAAACGCCTTGGTGAGCGATAATACATAATTTCTGGGTCTCCCTTGACCTCATACACCGAGCCAGGTCCGCTCTCAGGGCCTACAAACAGACACCAATGAATGGGCGTATCTGGGGGTACGTGCTGAAGAACAAGAGAGAGTTTGATGTCCTCTGACCTGGGTGGTGGCAGCACGTAGAAAAGTTTATCTTCCAACCATTGCTCAATACCTGTCCGTCTCCTTAAAAAGCGACCGTTAACCTCGCAAAATTATAGGAATCGGACTGTCGTAATGGGGGGTAGATGAAGTCGGATAGTCACTCATTTTTACAGAGCTCGAAAGTCTGTGTTTAGACTAATAGAAGTTTTGTCAGAACTCACCTAAGTTTATCACTTGAGATTTCATTGATGAGTTAAATGAGCAATCTTCTTCTAGTGATCTTGTCTGCTCGCTGTGATCGTTGATAAACTGACTCTGGAAGGATACTCACGTCCCCCTTTTATTCTATTAACTTGACCCTCCTTCGCTCATATTTCATTGTTCAACCCACACAAGGGCTGTGTCAACTCAGTGGGAAATTACTCTGCAACAAAGAGCCGCGGGAGCTACTACTGCATGTTTGGTGCCAGAGATAAAGTCGGGGAAAGCTTACATTGTTTTCATGACTAAAAATGTTCCACAAGAACTCCAATGATTGACTATTAGTATAACATTTGCAAGCTCCGAGGAATAAGGTGCCCCTGTAGAGGCTGATCTTAGCTTATGTGGACGTGTTTAACCACTCCCTTGTCTCGATATTCAGCCGTTGATTATGACTGTTATATAGCTCTCTTACCGTTATTCCTCGCATATACCGGCCAGTTGGAGGTCAAAGTGGGATAGCAATAGGTTGTATCTATGATAGTAATAAGAAGCTCTTAGAATACTAACCATAGCCAGGAATTTCTCGGTAGGTTTATTGATCAAGATTTACGGCTTGATAGGTAGTGCAAGTTAATAAAACAAAGAGACATTATAAAGTAACAAGAAAGGTGAACTCGGTCAATGAGCAAACATTTACTCGCCCCGGTACATTCCGGGAAACAAATTCCTTCGTGCAGCTTGCCCTGACTTATGAATTTGTCATGAAGATAGTAATAGTGTTATATATTTCGCCAAAAGAATAAAAGAAAGACCACATAGTTGATGGCCAACTCCGACAGCGTAGGTGCTGTCAAATTTACAGCGGAGAGAATAGAGATATTAGAAAGGATCTTAGAGCGCATAGTAATTGTTCCTATTCTATGAGATCCTCTATAATAGGAACGGGAGGGCTCAGAGCCTGTTCTCTAACACATTCCTCATATAGCTAGCTTCAGGCTCATCACGTGTTCAAACAACAACAGTCATCCTCATTTCACTAAATCATCCTCTGGAAGTTGGGGGCGGAGAATAAGGTTCACAGGGTTAAACAGGAATCCTGCTTAGCTATTGGAGAGCTGAACAGTGGCCCTTATTTTAAATTGGTGTTTGGTCGGGTTAACTCCGGGATATTAATGTAATAAGGCGGTGGTCCTGAGCCCAGAGCCAAATTTGTACTGTGTACCAGAGCTAGTCTCTGCAGGGGTAAGTTTTATTTGTGCAAGAATTCAGGGACCGGTGACTTAGACCATCCAGAATATGCATGAGAAGTGTGATATCAGATGAGTACATACATACAGTGTAGAGAGATACGGACAGATGTCCTTGATATTCCTATCTGAGAGTGATCTCCGACGGTTTCACGGGGCAAACTGATCAGCACAATTACGCCTGTTGTGCGAGGCAAATCGCCTCGATACGGTGTACGCTAGATCTACTTAAGAAAGGAACCTCCACATCTGATCCGGCGATAGAACGCTGCTCAAATGTTTGTGGTCTGATAATGTCTCTGCTCCGTACTCTGTAGGAGAACAGAGAACCGGACCCCTTCGTTCTACTACCAAGACCATTTGAAAATTCTGCATGTCTTCGGTGCGTATTTTAGGACGCTTGTAAGGTCCTTATTATTAGGCTGCAGGTGCTAGAAAAAGCCGTATGTGGTCAGCACCATATATATGCCTCCATGCCATTCCTATTGTGTGATACCGGTTTCATCCGACTCGAACGCCACCACCGAGTGGGTACTGAGCAACCAGGATCAGATTACCATTGGGGGCGCGGAAGGCGCGAGGCGGGACATTTTTGATATCGTGCAGATAACAGCCGGTCTGTGGCGGGCCCAATTCAATTCGTTTTAATATCGGAGTGTTGGTCTGCGCGGCTCTAGACTGGACACTAGGATCCACCAACAACCTGCCACTAGGGGTCTTTAAGAAATTACAACAAAAGTGGTGCACCCCCGTATGTATGTTCCCCGACAAGGCAAAATAGTGTATCACACTATGCTCAGTAGGCAAGTTATCTCCGTTTACCAAGAACTCGATACTTTAAGTATATATCCTACGCAGGGAAGGAATCCACCTAAGCACCCAGGAACCTGCCGGAGACTCTGTTAGTTTATTAATTTACCTTTTTCTTTTCATTGCCGCTCGGAAAATCCGACTGGACTTATTTACAAAAGCCTGGCGACCTGGAGAAGCCATTTTATATCCCCTCATTTTGTCACGCATCTGGAATTGCAGGAATTACGCCCATCATGGAGAAGCCTGATATTGAACCGCGGGTCGTTGAATCGCGGTCTTCTACTGAGTTTGACCCAGAATTGGAAAAGAAGCTGCTGCGGAAGTTGGATTGGCGTGTGATCCCCGCATTATGGTTTCTTTTTCTTATCTCCTTCATGGATCGGTCGAATATCGGGTGAGCCATCATTTTTCTCGCAGATTAGCTCTATGACGAAAATCGCTAATAAGGAGTTAGAAATGCGAAAATTGCAGGAATGACCAAGGAGTTGAATCTCGTTGGAAATCAGTATAATCTGGCAGTTACTATGTTCACTGTCGCCTACGTCATCTTTGGAATGCCGGCAAACTTGCTGGTCAAGAAGTTCGGTCCTAAGATCCTCGTTTTGTATATGTTTACCTGGGGTGAGTTTCACCAAAGCTTCTCTGCGATAAAACCTGCTAATATTTTGTACCTTAGGTCTGTTCGTTATGGGACAGGGTCTCACTAAAAATGCTACCGGATTGATCGCCTGCCGGTTTTTCATGGGAATGTGTGAGGCTGGGTTTGTTCCTGGTTCGTAAAAAGCGCCCATTCGATAATTCCATTAATCACTGACATGATTTTTCAGGCTGCGCATACTTGATTGGAAGTTATTATAAGCGCGACGAGTTCCTTCGACGTTATGCAATATTCTTCAGTGCGAACATGGCAGCTGGTGCTTTCAACGGGGTAGGTTCGGGTGGATAAACTTACTTGACATTCGCTGACTATAAATAGCTTTTCTCGAGTCTCTTAACCGGTTTGAACATGAGCGGATACGCAGGATGGAAATGGTAGGTCTCATTTACTGTTATCATATGGTCTTTTCGCTAACTTTATAGGCTGTTCCTGCTCGAGGCTATCATCACCATGGGTGTCAGTGCCGTCTGCTACTGGATCGTGGTCCCATTCCCTGAAGATGCGACTTTTTTGACAGCCGATGAAAAAGCGCTGCTGCTGGCTCGTCTTGAGGCCGATGGCGGTGGTGTTCGTACTGACCCTATCTCGTTCAAGCGTGTATTGGGCATGGCAGGCGACTGGAAGATTTGGATCTGGTGGGTTTTCTTGGTGATTCTCGTCAGTCGACCGATCGCTGACGAGTACAACAGTGTCCTGGCATACATGGGCGCCGAAGAAAGTGCCAGCTCTCTCGTCGCGTTCCAGCCCACTATTCTCAAAGACCTCGGATGGACGAGCCGCTCGGCCCAGGTGCACAGCATTCCGGTCTACGCCGTCGCCTTCGTCTTGACTCTTTCCTGCGCCTGGCTCAGTGACCGCCTCCGTCACCGTTATCTTTTTACCATGTTCGGCGCCGCCTTGATCATCATCGGGTGGAGTGTGGAGCTGGCGCAGGTACAGCCCGCCGCCGTTCGCTATATGGGAATTTTCTTCGTGGCGTCTGGAGCGTTCATCATGATGTCGAACACGGTGGTGTGGTTGTGCATCAACCTTGGCAAGGGCGTGAAACGAAGTGTGGGAATGGGTATCCTGCCAGCCTTTGGCAACTGCGGTGCCTTTGTGTCCGGGAACGTTTTTATTACCAGCCAATCTCCCAGATACCCAGTCGGGTTCGGAGTGGGGCTGGCCTTTGCTGTGATGGCCGCCGCGGCCTGCACGGTCTACTATTTTGCCCTAATGGCGGAGAACCGTCGGCGGGACAGCCAGACGGAGGACTCGACGGCCGAGACTACCAGCGACGCGGATCTTGGCGATGCGCATCCTGATTTTAGGTATCAGCTGTAGATAAACACGCTGGACCGTATGAGTTTGGGGCAGCGTGTTTTGGTACGAGGAATTTTGTTTTAATACTAGTGCCATGTTGATCAATAGCCATTTTCATATAATTTCATTTACACAGCGCAAGAGTTATGATTAGGGTATGACGACTGAGTTAGTGCATCCTATGAACCCTTTAAGCTTTTGCCATTCGTCTTGACTCATGACTGCTGATGGGGTGGAGTTGCCCTGGGGGGGTCTAACCAATTTTAACCCTAAATGAAGACCCACAGCGGGCCGAACCAACCTTCTCGGCCGCGGTCCGGAATTTAGACATAATTTACATCCGCCAATCAAGTCGCGTGCTCTGAAGTCTGTATTCCTTACAGCGTACACACTACACACGCAATTCATACGGTGTATCCTTGGATACTGTGTATATCATCCCAGTCCGTACTCTGCAGTCCGCACACACCATGGCTAATGTCCGGATGCTGGTGGGTCTCCCTCCAGAGTGGTGAATTACTCAGTCATGCTCCGTATACCCCTAGTCAGCCAACACCATAAATTGTCTCTAGTGCGTATAGCAAGGCAAGTGCCTCCTTCCGAACCAATTTATTATGACGGAAAAAACAGTCTCAGACAAAGAACTGCCGTGTACTCCGAGTACGGTATACTCCGAAGCCAAGATTATGAATTTCCTTTAGTGGGTGCATGTAGGATGCCGGCATCTTTACCAAGCGTGGAGACTGGAGATTTCTAGTATACTTCCCGATCCAACGGACCTAAGAGCCACAGCCAGTAGACCTTACGTGTTAGTTCGCCCATTTAATGCTCTGGAAGCATTATAAGGCGTATTCTTTTGCTGCATGGCGGACGTCGCGGTTGTCTTTTTGGTATTTTCCATCTAGCATCCGACCCTTTCCTCTCCATATCAGTTACGCTCTTTTCAGCTTTTTCTTTCTTTTCCTTTGTGCTTTTTCTCTTGCTCTATTTCTTCTCGCCAGCGACCGGGGCGACTTCCCGGCCACATAGGTAACGCCATCATGGAAACGCTGTCGCCGGACGAAGTCCCGAATAAAGGTCCCTTATTTGTCCAGGTGACGGGAGTCTTGACGGCCCTGGCTGGTTTCCTGGTACTCTATCGACTTCTTTGGAAGGCACATACGAAAAACAGACTGGCTGCCGATGATGCGCTCATCGCAGTGTCCATGGTTTGTTTGTCGAAGCCCATATGCCTGTGTCTGGCTGACCAAAGCAACTAGGTATTCCAAATCGTGAATACAGTTATGGGCGATCTGGGTATGACACCTATTTCTCTATTCGTCTTCTTCTGAAATTATTCTCTAATAATTACAAACAGCATGTCATTACGCCTTTGGTCGCCATCTTGTCGATGTCCAACGAACAGGGGGAAATAAGGTCCTAGCCCTGAAGGTGAGTTTAGTTGTATCCCTTAACCCGAATATTTAGAAAAAGAAAGAAAAGAAAAGAAAAGAAAAAGAAAAAGGAGAGAGATGAACAATTAACCCATTCAAAACAAACAGTTTTTCTGGCTCTTTCAACTCTTCTACAAACTCGTCCTCGGTCTCAACAAACTCTCCTTCCTCGCCTTCTACCTCCGTCTATTCCCTACGCGCACATTCCGCCTCGTCTGTTGGACCAGCATCGCCTTCGTGATCTCCACTACATTCAGCTTCGTTATCGCCACCATCTTCCAATGTATCCCCATTCACGCCAGTTGGCATAAAGAGATTCCAGCGAAATGTGTCCAGAACGCCAGTTTCCGCTGGTCATGGGCGGGCATCAACACGGGGCTTGATATCTGGGTCTGTCTCCTACCGCTCCCAGTGCTTGCACAGCTCCAGCTCGACCGCAGTCGGAAAATCGGCGTCATGTTAGTCTTCTGCATGGGTCTCTTCGTCTGCATCACGAGTGTCATCCGCATGTGGGCAATGGTAGCCAGTACAAAGACGCACGATCCGACATGGGGATCCTTCGACGCGCTGATTTGGAGTGCCATTGAAGCCAGCACGGGAATCATCTGCGCATGCTTGCCGATGCTGAAACATCCGATTCAAAAACTACTTCCGGGCTGGTTCAGTTCCTTATCGAACGGGTCGAGGAAGAGCCGGAGTCGGTCGAGAGCAAATTACCAGATGAGTCGGTTGGGGTCGCAATCTGGGGTTCGGACTACTGCTCAGGCTGACGAAGAAGACTTGGATGCCGATGCTGGGAGCATGGGTAGCCAGGAGCGGTTGGCGAAGAATCAGATTCTAATACAGACGGATCTTAAGATGCATAGTGAGCCGGCTCGCTCGTGAAACTCTGTACTGTACATTATCTAGGGTTTAAAAATAATACACTTTTCTTTTGTTGGATTACATTTTGGGTTATGCCAATGGATAGGTCCCTCATAGACACTCTCGGACAGTCTCGGTATCATTTTTCTTAATCTGACTATTGTCTCATCGGGATCAATCTATATAGTACTCGTAATGTAGCCTTGCGCCCAGGGATCGAAACTAGAACGTGGTGTCTCCCGCTGCTTGCCCCACTGGTATTACCCTAGTATTCATGAGAACCACTTGATGGCGGTGTGCCGGGATCATCCAGATAGAAATGTTGATCCCGATTCGGTGGAATTGAGTGATCGGGAAAATAGAACAAAAGGGTGGTCCCAGATCCTTGCTCATTTCATCTGAATTTACACCAGCGTTTGCCTTCAATTTGACCGAGGAACGGTGTATATCACAAGATAAGAGGTTGTTCCACCGTCGCCAAGAACCTAAACCTTGCAAAGACTCGAATTCAAGCTAATTCCAAGCAGCGCCTTTGCCGTCGTGGCAAAAACTAGCAGGATTCAATATAAGGATGCTCCACTCGCTGTCACACAATGTTTCAATTACTAGTCCCAAAGATCCCTGTCAAAAGAAGGATTTAGTTGGAAAATTAGTGGTAAAGTCCCCGTACTCAGTCGACACGCACTTCCAATGAGACATTAGGTGACCGGCATAAAGGGAGGGGGGGAGCTGAAACCAGCATTCTCCTTCAGCCCACCCTCTTCGCAGTATTTGCAAAATGTCCGATCAAACGAGCGCCTTTACCGTGGCTGATGCTTTCCTGGAAGCCCTGGCAGAGGTAGCTTCTTCCTTTTCCCTTTCCTCGTTGGCTTTTCTATCGACTGATATGTCGCAAATGACAGGCAGGCGTCGATTATCTCTTCACTGTACTTGGTTCCGATCATCCCAGTATCATTGAGGCCTATGTCCGCCGCCAAAATGATCCAGCCAGGTCGTATCCCAAGATCATCCTATTCCAACACGAGGTGTGTTTTTTCCCCACCCATCCAAAGATCTGCACTGCGTAAAGAATTGGTCTCATGCTGATCGATCGATCAGTTCGTAGCCATGTCTGCTGCGGATGGTTACGCCCGGATCAGCCATAAGCCAGCATGTGTGCTCGCACACGTGGACGTGGGGACTGCAGCGCTCGGTCAGGGCCTGCACAATGCATCTAGCGGACGAGCCCCTGTCGTAATTTTCGCCGGAGTAGCGCCTTCCACGCTGTTGGGTGAGGTCCCAGGCTCTCGGTCAGAGCATGTGCAGTGGTACCAGGATATTCGGGACCAGTCCGCTCTCGTGGCCCCCTATGGTCGGTACAGTGCGGAAATCAAGTCTCCACACAACGTCGGGACAATTGTGCATCGAGCCGTTCTAATGGCAACGACCGGCTCGCCGGGCCCCGTCTATCTCACTGCAACTCGCGAGATTCTAGCAACTGAGATTCCCTCGCTGGGGTCCCGGCCGAAGCCTATCCCATCCTGTCTGCTGGGGTACCTGTCCCCCGAGGCAGTCGCACTGATCGGGGACGCCCTGTTAGACGCCAAATCACCCTTGGTGATAACTGGTTATCTGGGCCGCAATCATCGTGCCGTCAAGGAGCTGATCAAGCTCGCTGATACCGTTCAAGGGCTGCGGGTGTTCGACTCCGAGCTCCGTGAGGTATGCTTCCCGGCAACCCATCCCGCGTGCGTGACGCGTGGGACCGGAGCCGCGCCCGCCGTGAAGTCCGCGGACATTATTCTCGTGCTAGATTCCGATGTGCCTTGGATTCCTCGGCGGGTGCAGCCGTCTCCCACGGCGGAGATCTTCCACATAGACCTCGATCCGCGCAAGGATCGTATGAACGTGTTCGACATCGGTGCCTCGGCTACTTTCCATGCCGATACCTGTGCCTCCCTTACCCAGTTGAACGCATATATATCCGGGTCATCCCATCTCCCGGAACTCCAAAAAAACTGGGAATCCCGTGCTCATGACCTCCGCGCGGCTCACGCCGAAGGCAAAAAGCAGATCGATTCCCGCGCAGCCCAGCTCCTCTCTAGCCCGGAAGGGCCCTGTAGCGTCGACTTCCTCTGCGGTCGCATTCAGGCCCTCGTGCCACAAGACACCATCTTTGTCACTGACTCTGTCACTAATCAAGTTGCTATGACCGAGCAGCTGCAGCTCACGCGTCCGGGATCTCATATCACAAAGGGGGGCAGCGGACTCGGCTGGGCCGGTGGTGCCTCGATCGGCGTGAAACTCGCAACATACCGCTACGATCTCTCCGACCGACCAAATATCCGTACTAATGAAGCCGCTGAAAGTCCGTTCCTGTGCAGCATCACTGGTGACGGCAGCTTTGTGTTCTCGGTCCCCACGGCCGTCTACTGGGCTAGTCATCGTTACGGGTGTCCGTTCTTGACTGTGATTCTGAACAATGGTGGCTGGAATGCCACACGCCAGTGTCTGACTGATGTTCATCCGCAGGGCAGAGCTGCTAGCCTGACGAATCGGGATCTAGGTATTTCGCTGGTTGAAGACGGGCCTAATTATGGAGAGGTCGCTAAGGCGGCGGTAAATGGGAACTTGTGGACGAGGCCAGTCACGCGAGCCGATGAGTTGGACGAGGCCATCAAAGAAGGCATTCGAGTTGTTTTGGAGGAGAAGAAATCGGCCGTTCTGGATGTGATCATTCAATAAGATAGTTAGGTATCTTGATCGCCCTCATATCTTTCGTTTTTTTCAACATTTCAGACACGATGAATACATGATTGGTTCTTCTTCACCAAGGCGGTTATCGTAGAGTTTAAACAAAGAATAGGATTCATTCTTTATCCCGTATCTTATTATGACTCGCCATATCTCACCATGAGAAGCTTCTGACGAAAAACATGAGGCGATCATGAAGCCAACGAAAATATGTACGATACCTGAGCCTGAGACCAGTGCTGAGGATTATCCGCCAAAGCCCCCTTGAAGATGAGATCAGTCCCTTTCATCGTCTTGAGATGCCGAATTGAGTAGACGAGAAGATAGCGATGATGTAGGATGCTTGGCTTACTAGATCCACCGGTGTCTCATGTACACTAACCGTATTGGGATTAGAGGGACCGACGTAGAATGCCTGAGGCCTCAGTCTGCCAAGCATTTCATCTTTACCTTTCTATTAACTAACTATTGCTTACTTTTGAACACTTCGTCTTCCTCTACAGTGTCATGGTCATCTTCCTTCATCACCTAGACTCACGTTTTGGAATTATCATCTAAATTCGAACATAAACATCACTATTCCTCCTATCAGTGCAAGAACGATATAATCACCAGTGGGAAGTAAGCTTCCCCCAGAGATATATATCTTTCTCAGCTAACATCCCATTTCTCAAAAATTCCCCAGTACACTGACAACCATTCAAAACCATGGCCTCAAATTTTCTGTCGAGTACTGCAATTCTGTGAACACCTTGATCTATGGGTTATGGGTAAGGAGATATATCAATGGCGGAGGTAAAATGTCCTTGAAGAGGAGGGGAGGAGCACTGGTTTGCATAGTTTGCATGGTTGACGCCATTTGGACTGTTTGGATTTACTGCAAACAAACACGACGGAGTATGAACAACCCCAAATCCCAAGGAGGCAAAGACCATGCTCAACACGTTCACACAATGCCAAAATCATACGAGATCGGCAACAAACCCCTTGACAAGCCAAGCCCACCGCCACGCTAAACACCTCGGAGAAAAGCAACAAATTGCGGGGGAACGGAGGGATTATGGCGCGAGACTTCTGCCATACGCCCGACCAGCAAAACCAAGATCAGGATCCAATTGGAAAGCACTAACTACACCGCACCAACGATTCATCGATCAATTAATCGCACGAACTCATGGCGCCAACCAGACCAAGGCCCCCGGACGGAGAAATTCATTTAACTTGCGATGATGTAACCCCGCAGTTTCGGGATACAATCAGCCGATGCGCGGCTTGGCTGAGGTAGTGTCGGGGATTATAAATTGCGAAGGCATTTGGCTGGGACCAGGATGAGGAGCTTTCTCGAGCACTGAGAATTGAGCTGAAAAATTGATAGTTTTGCAGCCACGATGTTGCTCTCTTCCCTTCTCGGCCTTTCCCTGGCCGTTGTTGCGCAGGGCAAATACATCGTGCCTGGAGGGCGATGGCGCGATACAGATGGAGAATTGGTTAATGCGCATGCGGGCGGTGTTGTTTTTGACGACAAGACGGAAAAGTTTTGGTTGTTTGGAGAGTATAAAATTGAGGGACAGGAGGAGGGTGGCGGAGTGTCGGTCTACAGTTCCGACGATTTGGCGACGTGGAAAGCTCATGGACTTGCTCTGGGTATAAAATCCCCATTCTCTGTTCCGGAATTTGTTGGAACGCTACCTAATTGAGAAAATGTGCTAACCCGGTCGCTCAGAGCCCGTCAAAGGACACGACTACATATCCCCCGAGCATATCATCCAGCGACCCAAAGTGGTTTACAGCGAGGAGGCAGATCGATATCATGTGCGCTCAGTATACCCAAACAGACAAAGGGCCGGCTAACAAAGAGAAAAGATGTGGTGGCATGCCGACAATTCCTCATACGGTTGGCTTCTACAAGGCCTCGCGACATCGAACAACATCTCCGGCCCCTACAGCTTCGTTGACGCGACCGCACCGCTCGGGAACTGGTCACAGGACTTTGGACTTTTCACCGACTACAAAGACCACAAGACGTATGCGCTGTATTCCAACGGCGACCGCAAGGAAGGGCGCGATGTGTATGTCACCCGGTACAATGACAACGTAACTGCCCTGGACGAGGTGGTGCATCGATTCGACAAGTACGATTTGGAAGCGCCAACTATAATCCAGACCGACCGAAGTTATTGGGCGCTTATGAGCCATAAAACTGGATATCGACCGAACAGTCAGTCATGACCAGCATATTGTTATTGAATTGGACTAACCGTTTTGACAGATGTGGTCGGTTTCAGGGCGGATTCGCTGAGTGGGCCTTGGTCGCAGCCATTTATCGTTACACCGCTGAACACGCGCTCGTTCAACTCGCAGTCTGGAAACTCACTGAGGATCAAGGGCTCGAAGAAAACCACCTATTTGTATCTTGGTGACCAGGTATGGCCAGTTTCCGTCGATTTATCGTCATCGGAACTGCTGCTAACAGAATCAGTGGGACTCCAACTCCCTGTGGGAGAGCAGATACATCTGGCTTCCGGTTGAGATTGACGAGAAGAAAAATAGCCTTGAAGTTGTTTGGAACGACGTTTACGATCTCAACGTGTAAGGCTCTATTTTGAGCACCTCGCTGCAAAGAACAGAACTAACTCCCGCAGGAAAACTGGAGAATGGAAGCCCATCAAGGGAAAGACATACTCCGCAAAGAAGGCCAAGACGAATGGAGACGCATACAAGCAGGAAGCTGTACGTTCCGGATATTGATGAAAGGAAAAGGTCTTCCGCTAACCGCCCAGAACTTCGCGACCGACGGAGTGATTCTCACCGGAATCTATGGTAACGACAGCACCGTGACCTTTGAGGGTATCGAGGGAACCGGCAAGCCTCAATGGGTGTCGTTCTACTATCAAAGTGAGCAGTCTCAACACACAACCGGAATGTTTTACTGACGTAATAAATCAAAGACACTGACGACATGGGCTTTGGCGACCAACGTAAGTACTTTCATCTCCTATCTTCTATTCCCCCACCGCGGTCTAATCAATTCATACAGCGGGAGGATCCCCCGACCGCATCGGCGGGTCCTGGCAACTCCGTCGCATCAGCAGCGTCGTCGTGAACGGGAAGACCGAGAAGGTGGAGACGTTATACCAGCGCGACACGCACAAGGGCATCATCCTCTCTACTCCACTGCAGCTGACCCTGGAAAAGGGGAAAAAGAACACGATCACTGTGGGGGGCCTGTACAACGGATTCGACTATAAGGGTGCGGATCTGGACCGGATCGTGGTGTATCCACCCGAGTAGATGAAGTTAAAAATAGATAGTTGAAGTCTGGCAAATTTGACAGGTCATTTCGTATGACCCATAAGGATTTCGAGATTTTTTCCATCGTACTTCGAGCAGCTTATGAGGACTGTGCATGCTTCAGGCTTCTGACCGTCTCCAAAATTGGCTGCTTAATGCAAAGAAGTTATAACACTATTACCACTGGTTGCAAATGAAATATGCAGGGCGCAGCCCACATGGCCTTTTACCAATAAATAGGGAATCCTTTGTTGACAGGGATCCGAGTGGACATCATAATCTGTAGAGCACGATCTAACCACGCCACTAGTTTAGCCAAGACGCAGAATTCCAATAGTCTAGGGTCCTTTGACGGGAAAGATCAAATCTCCAAAGCGATCCAGTTTAATGAACCTGATCTGTAATCTCGAGTAAATGATTATGATTATTTTGTAGTCTAAAATTTTTCACCAAGTAGAAAGCCTGTACCCATCATCCAACGCCCATTTAGATTCTTCCAAAGAATCACGCACAGAAAAAGTGCAACTACGCCTAGTCAAATTATCGCCCAAAATCTACACGAAAGCCCGTATCCATTCTCTTTCCCTCATCGGAGTCCGGATCCGTAACCTCCATTCTGATGTCCGTCTTCATCACGATCCCATTCCCCGGCGCCCCGGCGGAGACAATCGCATCCTGGCTGCCTCCGTGATCGGTCTCTAGTCGTCGATGGCGACTCATCTTGTACATTGTGCTCATGCGGTTCGAATACCTTTGTCCGGGGGTGTTTCTCTGGCTATCGTATTTCTGGGCGTTGGAAGTCCCGAGAACGCGGGGTGCGTAGGTCTTAATGATGACTTGAAGGGCGGGCGCGGAGCCGCAGAATATGGCTTTGAGGCATTCATAGTTAGAGGATTGGGTGACTTTATGGAGAAGTGAATACAGGGTACTCACCAACGTAGCATTCGATACTGCACCAATTAAGCGAATCGGCGAGGTAGTAGTACTGGTCTTTGTTGTGGGCAAGCTTTTTGACGAAGTCGTATCGCACGCAACCGGCTTTTCAACATTAGATGATAAGCTATATTATTATATGTGAAGAAGCTCACCTGCAATGGAAAGAATCCCTAGACCAAAGATGCCGAATAGAGCGCCCTTCCTACGCTATTATGTAGGCGTTAGTACATTTTTCGGATGAGGGGATGCAGAGCTACGCACATTCGATATCTTCACACCCCACAAGGTCGGCATGGGAACAATATAAATAAGAATGTCCAAGATGATATTCAGAATACCGTTTGCCTCATAGAATATTTGCTGCGCATCCGGGTCCATGCATTTACCCGGTGAAGTTCCGCTCAGGTTCCAAAACTTCGAAGGCGGCGTGCATGAAGCGAGAGTGACGATGACACTCGAGACGGAGAGGCCGACGTTGATGAAAATGAGTAGATAGACGGACCAACTCATTAGAGGACGTTGGTCAAGGCGAAGATAGAACCATAGCAGGGAGAGCCGAATGAATAGGAGGCCGGTTATATAGACAATTCGAGTGGCCCATATGGCCTGCACGGTGGATTGTCAGACGAGTCGGTAGGGTATTGTAGAGGTAAATACCTTCAGCATGGGAGTAAAATCGTTCTCGGGAATATCATCGACTGGATCCTGTTAATTGGTGGAAGGCCTCATGGTGAAGCAACGTACTGTGTCTGCCAACCCCATAGTAGGCCGCTAGAAGAGTCAGCTTAAGTCTCCTTGAAAGTGAAATTTTCGACACCCACCAATTATTGACGAGATTGATAGTCCAAAAGTGAGAGTCTTCAAGTCACATTAGTCATTGTAAGAGGATAACTCTTGGAAGCACAGACCGTTCCAATCACTATGAATACTGTCCGAAATCAGTACAGTCCTTCAGGCCGCACAAACGCAATGACATACCATCATCCACACCCATCGCACGCAGAATCACCGCACGTGCATACACTCGAAGACTCAAAACAACAGTAATGAAAGCCATAAATCCAATCCCGACCCCAAATACCGTAGCCTGTCTCGACCCAGGGTCGATGTCCCGTACATCGAGCGTGTGTGGATTCATATTGAGAAAGCGATCAACTGAAAGCAAAATCCCATGGCAAAGGAAAAGGAGAATTCGCCGTGTGTATATATATGCTGGGAATAAACTTCTGTCAAATCCCCTGACGTGAATTGCCCCAGCGAGTCAGGTTCAACAATTATCCCTGACAACTAAGATCTACATGTCTTAATATGGAACAGAAGGAATGGTCGGTCCCAATAAGGCCTCTCTTTGCTCTACGGTGTACGGAGTATTTTTCGCCAATCCAGGCCTCGATCGATCATTACCGAAACAGTAGGACTATCATGAAGGCTGCAAGGCCAGTATTGGCCTTAATTCGTGTTCCTTTGGAAGGAACAAACAAGGCACAGACGAGCCAACCCCGTGTGGTCTATCTTAAAACCCGCAAATAAGGCGCGAAAGCTCCATGTGGAGAACGAGAGGGAACGAACCAAAATAGTTGCGACGCACAATGTCGAAATGATGCTCATAGCGCCAACAAGACTATAGAAACGTGCACACTCATTGAATCATGTCGATAGTGATCAGCCGCCGCCGGTGTTTAGCCCTTGGCAGAGATCCACCGGCCGTGGGGGCGATATTGACCATGTGGATCCACCTTGTCGGTGATATTCGACCATGCTGGATTATCATTGAGCCTCGGACGCCGGAATAACTCCCCACATGAGTGATTCAGAATGTCAGAAGTACGGCTACCCTGAAACGCTCCCCGAAAGTTTCTTGAATCGTGATCGCCGGCACCGTTGCACCTTGGCGATGGGTCGACGGTCTTGCTCCCTTCCATCTTTGTCGACAAACAGTAGACTTACAGCTTTTAAGACCATGACCAACAGTCAAAGCTTTAGATGGTTGGTGCTCGTGTTCTTGGTGGAGACAATGATCTAGGAGATAGTCCATCCTGCGCAGTTGTCATGGATTGAGGGCTTGTGATGTGCGAGAGGCCGCGAATATAAGTACGCTGATCGAGACGCGGCTTCATCCCTACTTCACTTACTCCTCTCCGGTTTCATAATCCATTGCCCTACCTGAATTGCCATGGCTAACTCGGAGAACAACGTTGCTCTCGTCTTCGGCGCGAGTGGGATTTCAGGATGGGCCGCGACAAAGAACCTCCTATCGTACCCAACTCCCACGACTTTTTCCCGTGTCGTCGGTCTAACCAATCGCCCTAAGACGGTTGAAGAAAGTGGTCTCCCTCAGGATCCGCGACTGGAACTGTACTCAGGTATTGATCTGAGATCCAGCTTTGACAATGTCATCCAACAAATGGAGAAGATCCCTAACCTGGATCAGATCACCCACATCTACTATCTCGGTAGACACATCCTTTCTTTATTCTATTCAACAGCAGATTCTGATACCATCCAGCATACTCTAACGCTACTGCCTACTCCCAAAATGTCATGGACATTCGGGATATCAACGTCCACATGACCCACAACGCCGTGCACGCCAGCGATCAACTCTGTAAAAGCTTGGAATTCCTGGTCTTGCAAACAGGAACAAACGTATGCAATCAATAATCTCCACACAAACCCTCTCAAACTAACTATCCCAGAACTACGGTGTCGCCGTATTTCGGTTCCAAGACAAGATCGAAATCAACCCGCCCTTGAAGGAAGACAACCCACGGATCCCTTCCCCCTGGGGCGACGAGATCTTCTACTACCCGCAAGTCGACATCATAAAAGAAGCCTCGAAAGGCAAACGGTGGAAATGGTGCGAGGTTCGACCGGATCAGATCGTCGGTATGGCAGTTCACTCTCGATCGATCAGCGAGATACTGATTTGTGCAGGGCACGTCCCCAGTCCAACCAGCATGACCTACGTGGAGCCTCTTGCTCTTTATCTCGCTCTATACCTTTATGTTAATGGTCCTGGTGCTAGCGTGCAATTCCCCGGGAGTCATAAAAATTACGAGTACACCTTCACGGACTCATCACAGGACATCATCAGCAAGTCGGAAATCTATCTATCAGTACTGAAGCCCGACCAAGCAAATGGCGAGGCGTTCAACATCGCAGATACCGAGACCCCGGGATCTTGGAGTGTCAAGTGGCCTCTCCTTGCCGCATATTTCGGGCTAAAAGGAACAGGGCCTGGCGAGGAAGGGTGGATTGAGATCGACAAATGGTGGTATGACCATGCGGATGACTATAAGCAGATGTGCGCGGATTATGGGCTGCAGTATCGTCAGATCAATGAGGCAGCGTGGATATTTTGTAAAGTAGGATTCACGTTGTTGCACCGCAACCGGGAATTGAGTCTACAGAAGATTCGGAATTTGGGATTCACGGAGGAGGTCCCGGTGGGCCAAAGCTATATTGATGTGTTTGAACATATGGCTAGAGAGAAGATTATCCCGCCTACGGGCGCTTTGAAGGATGGCCATTAAAAAGATTTTAGATGGTTCTTATATACAGTATGAGAAATATAGATGAACCTGCGATTCGATTATGGTATCCTTAGTAAGCCCGGAGATCTCTGTGGGTAATTAAGTGTGTATAAGCATGGATATTTTTGACGAAGTCGAACAAAGATTTCGAATAAAGATCTGATTGCCAAAAGACCCCCAAACCCGAAATCCTTCGACTGGCCGACCCTGTTAATGACCAGCGACTCCATCGATCTGTGCATGATTGACATCTTGCTTCGCTTAGGCAGATTCTTATTTAAAATATGTCCCCCTCGCATTCTATTCGCTAACAAAATTTCTGAGATAAAACCTGTAAGAACTGGATCATGTTGAGGTATAAGCAAACGCAAAATCCTTGTCAGATTGCTCACATATCTGCATCCATGGCGTTTCCGAGATATAGAATACATAAAAGCAGCAGAGATTCATGACGAGGAAAGGCTTTTGATAAAATAGCGCGAGGGTCCTATAACAGAGTTACTGTCGGTTGACTTGGTCATTGCCCTAAGCAGATATCCTATCGATTCAACTGAATATAGGTATATGCTCGGTGGG